CCTTCGCGGCAACATAAACCGAGTTCTTCCGCCTTCGGTCTCGAAACAACGGTCGTAACTTCGAATAGCGTTCGATAGAAAAGTATATAAATTCTCGAATACCCACGGTTTTATGCTCCGAGAATGAACCGAACACGCCACTAGCACCGCCTCGTCGGTCTGTGTACGACGAAACACGATCGAGTCCCCAGGTTACAAATTCAAGAACGAGCCGGAAATTTTTCCCAACGGTCGAACGTTCTCCGTATAATCGTTGTGCACTCGGTGGACACTTTGGAGTCGTTGAGCGCGACTCGGCGTAATTTCAAAAGCAAAAATTAAGCACGGTGGGGGCGGGCACGCGAGACACGAGCCACTCGACTCTCCTAACGGGTATTTAATATCAGGTATCTCCGGGGCGGTTGAAAAAAAAAACGTGATTTCACGAAAGAGAGCGCATTCGCGGATTAATTATGCGCCATGTAAAACAGTCCTGGTCGCCGCCCGTGCCGTTTGATATCTCGAGTAGGCAGGTAAATACGCGAAGAAACACACCGGTAATTGAGGGCTCGAAACGTTTCGAACAACCTGTCCCGTCCGCCGAGTTTCCGCCTCGCTTCCGAAATATTTTTTCCCGTTTCGCCTCCAGATTCTATGAAGCGAGCCCCGAGAGCCCCGATTTCGTAATAACTTTACGCGAACATATAATTAGCCGACGCAGTTACTGCTTGCAGTACCAAGTAACCCTCGCATCGTACATATTTCCAAAGGATTAACCAATCAACAGGATGTCCCAAAATAGCTTCGACTCCTGGAAATGAGGAGTTCCTGGGATGATTTGAAATAACTTTTCCCTTAGCAACAATGCTGTCCGAGGCTTTGTTAACGGGATATTAACGGAAAAACCCCGACCAATCAGAGTGCGAATCTGCCCGCCGAGTTCTTGCGCTAGCGTTGGCTACGCGCTGCGATTGATAGAAGCTATTTTGGGACACCCTGTATACGTAAACAATGACAACCGAATGGTCTCAAGGACAATGTCTCTTCTCGAATTTGCTTTCCGTTACAACCCATTCACTCGTTCATAAAGCGATACGGTCGAGCGAGCCTGCCATCGTTAAAAGTGCAGGAGATAAAACACACGAGGGGATCGTAAAGTGAAAATTGGCATTCGAACGCGGTTATCGTGTCAGTGACTCATAATCGAGTATCGCGTTCTGCGATGGCAACGATCGCGACACGCGACGAAACGGTACGACACGATGTTACATACCTGACGCGACAAACACAACTTCGTCCTATATTACGTGGGGAACGTGAATATTTCAAGATCTACCCTAAATACACCACATTTGGTGAAGTTTCCGCGTTTCGTACAGGGAATACCAGTGTTCCAGTTACCATTTATCGCTCTATTCGATGCCTGTCGATGAATGAAGGCACACACGCGGAAGTAACACTTTTTCATGTTCTGATTTTGCTGTTTTATACAGAATGTTAGACAACTATTGAGAGCGTTCTTCGAAAAGTTTCGCCCTCCCTACGCTAATGCTTTTCCACAGATGATCTCATGCTTGTACACTTAATTGTTCTACTTGGATTTAAATCCCATTCTGTAAAAACGGGAAGAGTACATTTTCACGTCGTTCAAAGTTCAGTTTTTTTTCTTAATCTAATCAATCACTTCCCTCGAGACGTACACTCGATCTTTTACCGGCCCCGATCACACTACCTTGCCGAATAGTTTCTTCAGCTACTCCTCGTCCCAGTCAAGTCGTGATATAATCTCACATGCGATGTTCAAAAAAGTGACCACCAGCGTATGTATTGATTTAAATGCATCCCATTACATGGCTAGCGTACTTTATAGCATGAGGGGTGCACAAGTTTTTATGGGTTTTACTCGAAAAGACCAGACTAGTGTGGAATACTAAAAATAATTAAATTAAACTAGAAAGAATTACTATAGAATACAACACGGAATACGCTAACGAAACACAAATAACTCAAGACCGCACTTCACAGATCAGAGTTTCCTTCTTCGCAGTTCACACTCAACTGTCTCAGAAAGGGCATTTGTACGTACCTGCTTCCCCATCTGCCCCGCTTGCGTCTGGAAAATTACAATCACTGGGTGACCAACACACACACGCACATGGTTTCCTTAAAGTAAACAAGACCTTTTTCCAAGGGTGGTCTCTTAACCCGAGTCACGACCACATTTATGATACTATACCAGTATGAAAAGCATAATGTTTCTTCTATAAGATACAAGGAATTTGTAATAGAAATTTTTATTCTAATAAACAAATTTTTAGATTATTATTATTCATTAAATTTCTATAATTATATTATATTAATAAATTTTCAGTTTACCACACAATAAGACTGACATAACAGCTTCTCCGAACAAATCGCAAATGTTTTTTACGATACGTTTAGAACGTTTATTCTTTTATTTTCAAATTTTTTTCGAGAGCACAATTTCTAATTTTATTTTAAACAACCAAACACACTCAATCACGTCAATTTCTGTTCTAAATAGCAATTCACTATGTTACATTGACATCAACATATAATATATTAACATAATAGTGTATTGTTTCCACAAAACTATGATGACCGTACATGTCGTCTGCAGAAAATCCATCAAAACTTTTGCAACAACCCAATATATTCTGTCATAGACGATTTCTCAGAGTTACAACACAGTGGTGTTAACTGCATTTGCGCTGGACCTTGACACGCCAGTCAACGATTTCCCAGAGTGTTTGTATGTACACATCCCACCGTTGCATTTATGTACATTTGATTGAATCGTGTAACAAAGTCGTGATATCATTTGTCGCGTGACATCCAGCGATTGAAAATGTTATGAGGATTTTTTTTTAATTGGAGACGTGAACAGCAACAAACGAGACAGTAATATCCAACTTGACTCGTTAATGGTATCATAGAAAAGCATGCTGTGCACCGTTGCGTGTTGCCGTGTTACGCTAATAATTTAGAGTTGCACGATCATGAATTAAGAAAATTGCTACCAGGTTTTCTCAGGTTGGAATTAGACAATTACCACAAAAACAATCTTATATACTATTGTATCGTTCGGAAAGTTCGTAGCGTTTCGAGCATAATATCTTCGTTATCCTTTTACTGGAGGAAGGAAAAACCTTTCGACCTTGTGAACAGATACCGTTTCCCAGATTGTGGATTGAATGTATAATATTCACCGTACAAGTTATCGTTGTTTGTTGTTTTTGTTTTCTGCGAGAAAACCGACAAAACGTATGAACAACCATAAAGTCATTAGGTACGTTCTATCAAACTTGTCAAAAATTTGCACCATTTCAACTGGAAATTTTTTTAGCATCTGCCTAATTAATTAGACTTTGCTCCATCCGATTGTTATTCCATCAGATCGCTATAATATCCTTCATCAAGAACATCGACAAAAAATCTATGTAAAAGTAGATCAAAGATGTGTATAACTTGTACAATGAAATTAATTGAAAAATCGTAAGAAATTGCAAATAGAAATAGTAAATCAGAATATGACATAGATTGTAACTCTGTCCTTAAAAACGCTACGAGCTTTCCGAACAATCTACTATTAACGTTTCTGAACACTTCGCGAATCTTTCGAGTCCCTTGGAGCGTTGCTGTGAATCGAGGCGACGAAGGTCTCGGTTAGGCAACTCGCGTCGAAGCTCGTTGAACCAAATTCGCGAGGAGTCGCCGGGATTACGTTCGCGTTGTACACGATGACTTCGGCGAGTGTGTTGACGCGAGAAGCCGTAGTTCTTGGTCGGAAAGTTTCTGCGAATTACCAAGAGGGAGGGAACTCGAAACCACTCAAGTAAAACCATTGTTTGCCCGTCGAAGTGGCGTCGTGTGTACACATCCCGATGTCCCCGAAGAGTGACTCGGACCTCGAAAAAGATCTCCGGTAGCACAAACATGTCCCAGACCGTGTAACCCGTCCATTTTCTTTATCCCCTCCCCCTCGTCCCCTTCTCCATCTTCGTCCCTGTCTCCCCGTCCCGTTACAAAACTTTCTTCGTCGTATTGGCAGAGCAAGAGAACGTGCATCGTTGGAAAGATAACAATGAAATTACGAATTTGTTCGTTCTCCGAGTGAACTGAATCGTTCATCCGAATATGTTAATATTCAAAGATCAACAGATATTTTCCAGCTTCCAAACGTTATTACGGCAGTTTCACTGTCAGCAAAAACGGATATCGAATCGGTTCAAATACAATCGGCGTAGAATAAGTAAACACTTCTCCATCGGGGCGAAGCGATAATGTATATCGATAAAGCAAATAAAGAGAATTTGTTCGATAAACACTTTTCGCGATCACAGGCTGGAGAACGATGTTTTTTCATTCGTTAATGAAAGATTCGTCAACAGTGAATGCATTAGCGCGAAGAAAAACGATATCGTGATGATTCAGCTTGAATGCAACGAGTCGCTCGTCGTCGCTACTCAGATTTTCACACGCGAGTTTGTCTGACTAAAGACGAATATATACTACTTCGGGCGAGCTATTTCGTTCGCAGTGACTCGATGCTTCTTGGTTCCGGCCATACATTCGGAGCAGTCAGACACGAAGCGTTGTCAGACCGATTCTACTCGGATAAACATTGCTATTGGTAATCTAATATACGATTATTTATACATATGCAGTATAGCAAGATCATATGTAAGACATCAGCCATATCAAGAACGTTTCGTCGTATATCGTTTAATGGGATTTTCCATTCTTTTCAGACAAAAATGTTCAAAGACCTGTTTTAGTGATAAATCTTTTGTTCGTTACTGTTTAATAGTTCAAAGAGTATACAATGTTTATCTGAAACAAATTGCTTTGGTGAAACGAACTACTTCCACGTTAAATATTATAATTCGAGTATTTAGTCTCGCAGCTCGTCCACTTTAATCGACCCACGTAACATTTTTATTTCGGAAAAACAATATTCTATAGTAGGAAAGCTAATCGCGAGAATCCGTTTGTTTCAGGACTGGTCAAGCTTGGGGTCCATTGCGTGTTGGGCAAGAAGGTGGCGATCAAGATCATCAACAGGGAAAAGCTGTCGGAATCGGTACTGATGAAAGTGGAACGGGAGATCGCGATTATGAAACTGATCGACCATCCTCACGTTCTCGGTCTTTCGGACGTATACGAGAACAAGAAATTTCCATCTGGTACCAGTCGAGGAAATCTCGCGGTTCGCTCGAGATTCATCGGCCTCGAGTAGTCGTTGAACTTTAATTCGAAATGTCGGTTCGGAAAGAGATATGCGTGGAGCTGTCCGGGGGAAAAAAATCGAGAAAAAGAAAACTGGTGAAATGGTACACGGTAGACAAAAGTGTTTCGCCCACGGGCCCCATTATTCACGGCGCGGCGTGGCAGACGGACAGGGAAATGCACGGCTGGGAAAATACGAATGCACGCCAACTGAAATTACACTTTTACGTTTCAGATATCTTGTCCTGGAACACGTCTCGGGCGGGGAGCTTTTCGACTATTTAGTGAAAAAGGGTAGACTAACGCCGAAGGAAGCGAGGAGATTTTTTCGACAAATCATTTCCGCGTTAGATTTTTGCCATAGTCATAGTATATGGTGAGTAGTCTCTTAAAGATTCTCTTCAAGCGCGTGTGTCCCGACTTTAACCGTTTACTACCGGTCTCGAACTAAATTTTTCTTCTGTCGAATTGTTGATAATTGTGCAAGAACATCAATAACGATCATTCCAAAGAATTTCAAACGCGCAAACAGTTCTTACGTACAAATTCATCGCGAAACTCTGAATTTGTATTAACGATCGTGTCGTCCTCTCAGAATCAGTCTACACGTCGATTAACACTCCCACGCAAAAACTTGTGGTCACTTTGCGACGAGAATAGAACAAAGTGCTCGTGAATTCTTATTAAGAAATCCGATCTATCAACATTTCCCCGCAGTTCCTCCCTTACCCCTCGAACTGGCCACTAAATCCTACGGTAAACTGAACGCGGACGAACGATCGTCGGTTTACTTACGCGACAGAGAAGCAGCTGCACGATCGGTGAACGATGCCAAATTCCTTCCGGTTAATTTCGCGAGGCGTTTAGCAACTCAATAACGGGAGGCGAGAGAAAAACGAGCCGCATAGAGACAAGGGGATCCCGAAAGGCCGGTGCGTCGAGCTATCAGGGGGAGACCTACCCCAATCGAATAAATACAGAAACGGACCTAATTTCACAGGAGGGACACCGTGAAACATTGGCTCCGATCGATCCACGCATTCAAATTAGTTCACCCTGCGGGCCTGAGCGACTAGCCTAGTCAATTTCCCCGTCGATCGTGGAACGACCGCACAGCGGTCCAGAATCAAAATTTAGCAATTCAAGTGGTCGAAAATAAATTTCTATTATCTTTGAAAAGAAAATCATGTCAACTTATTCGCGACCGTGGAAAACTTAGTCCATAGATTATGTCATCGATCTCGGTGAAACGTAGAAGAAAAAATTCCTTAAAAGTTTCAACTTTCATTAAGACGTTGGAAACATTGTTGGAATAATGACGCCATCGAAGAGAATCCTTGGCATTGTTAAAAATGTCTTCCTATATCCGCTTCCATTTGAATGAAATTGACAAATTTCAACATTTTTCATTGTTTGAGCTACTAAATTTTTCTTCTAGAACACTGTGGGCCGATCCCAATTTAATCGAATCACGCGTATCTCTTCTTTTCAGTCATAGAGATTTGAAGCCTGAAAATTTGTTATTGGACGAGAAGAACAACATTAAGATCGCGGATTTCGGGATGGCGTCGTTGCAGCCAGCCGGTTCCATGTTGGAAACCAGCTGCGGCTCTCCTCATTACGCCTGCCCCGAAGTTATCCGAGTAAGATCGCTCTCTAATGCTTCAGTACGATTTCGAAAGCTTTGCTGAACCCCTTCGTGCTCGCCGAGCGAACGATGATTACTGTAACACGTCCAAGGAAATTCCGTTCAATAATCTCGACTCGATCGCGACACAGCCGCGCATAGCCACAGGGAAGATGGAATCCGCGTGGGATGTATTCGGTTTAAGTCCTCTGATAATCCGCCCGAATCAATCTCTTAGAAACGGTAAGATCGCGTAGCTGGACGAGCCGGAAGAGTTAATGTAAAAAAGTAGTCCTAACGGTGTATTAAAATCAGCTTCGCCCTCTCGTCTACTCGTATCGTTTTCCTCGGACGCGTTCAGAAGACGGGGAAGACAAATTGCTTTTTTTCACTCTTAAACCGAACACCCCACCGCGGCGGGAATTTAATTAAGGCGAGGCACGGGGGAGAGAAGAAAAAAAGAAATGCGAAATAATTGCGTTTACGCAGGGAGAGAAATACGACGGCAGGAAGGCGGACGTTTGGTCGTGCGGGGTGATACTTTACGCGCTTCTGGTAGGCGCGTTGCCCTTCGACGACGATAATTTGAGAAAGTTGCTGGAGAAGGTGAAGCGTGGCGTGTTTTACATTCCACACTTCGTGCCGCCCGAGTGCCAGAACCTGCTCAAGGGAATGATCGAAGTCGATCCGGACAAAAGATTGACGGTAAGAGATACACACCTTCGGCGTTTACTTACGAGAATCGTTTACGAGCGTTGTTACGCTTGGAAAAATCGGGGTCCGCGAAGAACCGCGCGTCCTCTGTCGGAACACGCGACGGTAAATCCTAATTATCAACTTCCACAGCTGGCGGAAATAAACAGGCACGTGTGGGTGACAGCGGCGGGCAAGGGCGAGTTAGAGTTGGAGCTGTCGATGATGGACGTGGTCCAGACGCACGTTATTCCGTGCGTGGAGGCGATCGATCCGGACGTGTTGCAGGCGATCGCGAGTTTGGGCTGCTTCAAAGAACAGGACAAACTTATTCAGGAGCTTCTCAGCCCGAAGTAAGATATCTCTGTGGCTCGAACAAATACGAAAAAGCTCTCGTTCCATCCGATACGGGCGCCGAGTTTCCAAAGCGAAATCGAATCGAAACCCTCCGCAATATACTCTTTTCCACGGAAATCGGATCGATCTCGTCGATTCGAAACTCGGGAAACTTTTTTCGTCAACTCGTACTATTTTCATTAGTATTTTTTAGTTCGAATATTTATGTTTCGAATTTAAATTCACGTTTACGGTACGATGGTGATGCTTCATCCAGAAAGATTCCGTTAACGGTGACTCTGTTCGTGGAACACTAGTTTCCCTCGAGAGAGGAAAAGGGATAGAGCCGGGTAGGACCTGGTCACGAAGTCGGAAAGACAACGATCGTGTTCCGACGCGGATTGGTCCGGGCGCGTTTACTCCCGAAAACCTTGACCCGGACTAGATTCCCCGGGAGTTATTTTTTATAGCCTCTCTCACGCACGGTTTTCCCGAACGCAGCCACAACACGGAAAAAGTGATATATTTCCTGCTGCTCGAGAGGAAACGAAGAAGACCGGCGTGCGAAGACGAGCTGGAGGTGATGAGGGGAGGCATCAGAGGATCCTCGGGACAATCGGAAGCGGATCCGCCCAGGAAACGGGTAGACACCTGTCGAGTGAACGGCAGCACCGCCCTCAATCTCGGGGAGATCAGCCACGGTTCTCCTTTGACACCTCGAAGACAGTCGAGGTCAGTTCCCAGAAACCAGTTTCCCCAGTCAGACGATCGATGTCCCGTTGATCGGCTCGCGAGCTACCTCCCGCGATCATTCGAGTCCACGATCGCCATCGCGTGATCGCGCGTTCTTTCAGCCGACGCAACGGAACGTGTCGCGTGCGCGATATCGCCGTATACACTCCCCACACTTTTTCTCCAACTCCCCTGTTTTACAGTGCGCGCGAATTCTATTCGGACGATTACACCGATTAAGATCGTGTCTTGCCTCTTTTTTTTTTTTTGCACGATTCACCGACGAACGTCTGTAACCGCGCGAGGAACCGATCGACGATACCCCGCGTTTACGATACGAGTCGACTTCCGGTTAAATATCGTCGCAACGAATCTTACAGACCACCGATTCGTCACGTTATGTGTTCAAAACGAGATACCGATTGTCAATAACATTTCATTTAATTTAATTTATTGCCATTAACGGGAAAACTCATTTTATACAAAAGTTTAACAAGAAAAATTCATCGCACAATTACCATCGATTGAACGACCAATCGAATCTGAGGGTATTTTGAAGAAAGCGTAAATGTTGGTGAAATTGTCTCACAGCGCGAGGCATCACGCGCGTCGTTCGCCGAGCACCGGATGCCACACGCACGCGTCGCATTCGCACGCATCGACTCCAGGCAGTTCGCCACTGCACGGCTCGAACGCGGTCGCGGGACTCTTGAGCCCTCACAGGGCTCCGCCGTCTTCGCACTTGGGACAAACCGGAAGCCCTCACAGGCTGTCCACGGTGACGACCACCGCGGGCAACGGAAACACCACTAGTCATACACCACCCGCTGCCGCCCCTGTACCGGCCCTTCCCAACGTGGGCATCGAAATAAACGACGTTCAGCAAGGTGAGCCTCTTTTCGAATAATCCACGTTTAACCGTTTGAGTGTCAGGGATGGTTGCAGAAACTTTGCTGAAATCTGCCAAACGGCGTGATCGCGCTTGGTTCCATTTCACGGCGACGAGTGTCAAGATGTCGTTTTTCAGAATATTCCCACCAAAATCGAAAGAAACAACCGTTGGCCACGAAAAGATAAACCGATGAGAAAATAAAAATTTCCCAATACAATGTGGGTCGATGATTGAACAGCGCGATTACGCTGCTTGGTACTAAAACGTGGCGGTAAACTGCCGCGAACCGCTTGTCTGAATCAGATCTACGAGATTCGTCGAATTTCTAACAAGAAAACACAGTTGGGTACGCTCTGCGAATAAAAACTGAACGATCGCGAAAACCTCTGAAAATAGAAACGAATTCGAATTGCGTAAGACACCGGGATAGAGAACCGGGGAAATAGGGAGTTCGACGTGAAAAAGAAGTGGAGTCCGTTGAATCGAACCGTCGCTTTCACGATAATAGAATTTGCCCTCGGGGAAGACAATAGCCCCGACGAAAATACCAAGTCGGTATTGAACTTGCCCGCAAGCCGGCGATACGATAATTCAATAGCATCGAGATGACGTTCACGCGACGCAGCGGCATCTTTTATTCCGCTCGGTCGACTGAAACTCGACGATCCCGATGGGTATCGGTCGCGATCGCTGAATTACGCGCATTCAAATTGTTCACCGATAACATCGAACGAAAGACGCGAAACGAAAGTCTGCGAACGGGTACGACGAATAGTAACGAAAATTCGTAAAATAGGTAGAAACCTTCACGGATGTATGTTATGCACTCTCTAGTCGTGGAGAAATTGACGACGACGGCTAACCGATCCTTAGTTGAAATCGATACTAGCCTCCAAGTTTCGACCACTGATCCATTCTTCGGAACCTCTCTCCAGATTGTGCATCGCAATGTGGCGGTCTACGCGGGTTGCTTGGTAACTCGGCTGGGTTGCTTACGAAACCAAGGAGAATATATTCCGCGACTCATTGGGTATTCGGAATCCAATTATCAGAAGTTGTGTAACACGTTGTCGAAATATTAACTCGGACCGTTGAAGCTCTATTCGAACACGGTAGTTTTGACCACACAAAACAGGTGACCGTTTACATATACACAACTGCCCTGTACGGTTACGTTACCACTATTGTAGAAAGAGAAAATGAGAAAAGTCTACTTTCTCTCCTACAGCTTGGGATTTGTATAAGGTACAATGAGAAAGAATAGATTTCAATGTCTTACATAAAACTCTGTTGTTCGCACTCCTCTGTTCACTCTGTTTGCTCCGTTAGCCCTCTGATCTCTTTCTGTCGCCCTTTTCTCAATTCTTCGCGCTTTTCCCGTACATCCCTTTCTTCCACACAGAAACATACCCACTTGCATTCCTTTCCCTTCCATCCCTACCCAACGCTCCTCTTTCAATCCCAGAAAAAGTTTCGTCACGCAAGCCTAAAATCATCCGTTCGTCCCAAACACTCGAACGCATCAACAGAGCACTTAGCCTCTTGACTATTACAAACGTGCACACGCATCTTTCATTTCCTACGCTATTGTGCAGAGGAAATATACCCGACTCGAACTTCTTTTTTGAAGAAGCACACGGAATCCGAATAAGGTTAGATCACAACGCGATCCCTTAACGCGGGAAAGCTCCCCGAGCGAAGATCGCAGGTGTGCCAGAGTGTTTAAACGCGCGAAACAAAAGCTACGGGCATCGGGACCCTCGTCGATGTCTGAGCACCGGTTTTATCTCGTCGAGAGTAGTCGCTGCTGGCTGAGCAGCCTTTAAAAATGCAACTGACCTCCACGCTCCCGTAACGAGCACACACCGCGTACAGATCATTGTTAAAGAAACGCGTCTAATGCGGCTGCATCCCTCCTCGAAACTCTCCATTTTCTTTTCCCTCTTTTCCCGCCCGTCGCTGGAGGAGTTTGAAAAGTGAAAACACGGGAAAGAACGATTCTTCATTCGAAACAATAGCGACGAGCGTTCTGCCTTTTCTTGGTTCTTGAAAAGAGCGACCGGTGAATCGTTTGATCGACTATGCAACGTAACCGATTTGAAAAATGAAATAACCGAGACTGAAAGGATACGAGCGAAAGTGCTCACCTCGGCGTCGACAACTCTGTTTGATTCTACTCACGCGACACTTTGCCTCACCGTGCTACGTATTTGCGTGCACAACGCTACCTTTGCTCGGTGTAACGATCAGATTCGCTTCGATCGGTGGCCTGTCGTGGAACATTTCACGGACGACAATTAACATTGATCGCCCGTAGTTTTAATTCGACCGGTTGCAAACGGACGACCACAGGTGTCCTTCGTGACAACCGCTCGAGCCACACATCTGTCTCCGCTTAAACAACGTTTATACGATCGCAGTGTTCAATTTTTTCCAATTATGGTGATGACTCGGTAACTCGGAACGAATCGATTATCGACAGGGATAAACGTTATCGTATTTAATAGCCCGTGATTTATCATACTGGTGTTAGTAGTCACCACTCTAACTTTGGCACAGACGAGACATAAGAATAGACCAAACATCTTATGGGACTTGGTGTCTCACGAAGATCACGCTGGTTCGAACGCACATCGCATAAAAGTTTCCGACTTTAGGATGACGCACAGCACACACACACACACACACACCCGTAACTGCATATAGCGATACATACATACATAAATACATTATTGCCCCGATTTCGCTAGCAAGGAATGGAATACTGAAATGGTACGATGGCTTCTGACGCCCCGAAGTATGGGAGAGAAAATTACATTGCATGTTGGGTCCGTTCTTATATCTCGTCTGTGTCTTTGGCTACCTCATCGGTAAGAGACGATCAATTTCGTAGTAGTAGCGGTCGGCGTTACACCGCCAGGATCACCGCACACTGGAGCCGGTTCCGGCGCCCATCACTGGAGATCGAGATTGACAACCATCAAGAATTCTTTCCTGGGCAGCCCACGGTTTCATCGTCGCAAACTTCTAACGAGCACCGAAGAGGTTTGTAATCGATATACGATAAACAGAATTATAATCGACATAACGCGTTCAACAGTATTACGTGTACATTATTCAAATTTCTTTTTAATTCAACATAAACGAACTTCAAACCAAAAGAGTCTTAACAGACCACTATTTTCTACGTAAAATTATTAATGATCGGATTAATAATACAAAGATCACGGCACTAATAAATTTTAATACTCCTATCCGGCCGGTTAGAGCTCCCTCACTTTTTAGACATTTGCCATACACATCCAGATTTAATAATAACAACCCAATGAACAGAATTTGTACTTAGTCCACGGAAATATATAAATTATTATTATTATTATTAGAAGTAGAAGGCGAAATACCAAAGCAATCATTCGATCTACCGATTTCTTATGCAACACATTGTCACATTCCGAATCAAACGTTACACTAAATTTTAAGACTATCTTCGGAATAAATCGAAGTATGGAATCGCTGGATGCATCGCAAGAGCCGAGAGCCGAGAGCACGTCGCGCGAAGTGTTTTATAATTATCGATTTCACGAGTTTATTATACACGCAAGGCGAACCACCCAAGCCGTTCCATCCTACTTTGCCTCTTAATTTTTCATATTCCTCGGCGTCGTTCCTGTCGTTAGGTATGCCTCGTTACGGACCAATCGTTGTCACGATCATCGGAATTCGTTGCAGGTACATCTCACCCCGGACTCCTCCCCGGAACTCACGAAGAAATCGTGGTTCGGTAGCCTGATGACCACGGAGAAGGACGAAACGTTCACCGTTCTCGTTAAAGGCAAGGTATTGGCCTGCGTGAAAGCCGACTTGATCCACGCTTTTTTATCGGTGAGTGTCGAACAACCAGATCGCGCAATCTCTCCCGCGTCTCTCGTCGTCCCGTGGGGGTTCAGGTGAAAAGCAAAGAGAGATTGGTGTTCCAGATAGCGGAGCTGTCCCACAGCGTTAGCTCGCCCATGTCGTTCCGAGTGGAATACAAGAGGGGTGGCACCGCGCCGGCGATGTTCCAGAGACAAGTCCGATTTCAGGTTGACATCAGTACCATTTCGAAGCAACAGAACGAACCGTTGTTCGCCATCACCTTTACTCTGCTCAGCGGTAAGTTAATCATCTCCTTGCCCCTTGAAACCGTCACACGGCACCGTCGATTATCACCATCTCGATATTTTCGAGGGAAGAATTTCGCGAACACGTCCCAACGCGGATATACAGTAAATCCTCGATGATCGTTCGATGGCACTGACAAACAGAGGTCCCCAGCTGTAACGCTGATTTTTTCATCAGATTTAGGACAGAGCTTGGAATTCTGAAGTCAGTGATATTTCTTTCAGCCGTATATGGACATTAGTTTATAAAATATTTCATGTTCAATGCGGAGAAACCTTCAATCACTCATCGATGATTTACTGTACCTACGCTTCGGTATTTTCTCGACTCGATAAGACCAGCGGTAAAAAGCCCGAGAGGGTTACGAAGCCCCCGTCGCGTCGGAAGGAAACCACGCGAAACGCAACGGTGGATCGTAAGGTGGCGGCGTTTGGCATTTGGCAGCCATCCAAGCGCAACTAGATCGATGTTAACTTGGCAAGCGGAACCCCGCGTCTTGTCCGCATGTACGCGCGCGAGTATAATTTCACTCGGAGCATCGTTGTGTTTTGCCTTTCGCATCCTGTCGCTCGTCCAAGAGCGCCGCCGCCGCCGCCGTCTCCTGATTTACGTTCCGCGTTTAGTCTGACCGGAAACATTAACGACCGAATTGTATTTCATCCAGTGTGTCATCGACAACCGACTTGTTCCGTTTTTAATCGCGTTCGCGCCTCATTCACACACCAATTATGCCACGCAGACTATCTAAGATTGTATCTTTCTTCGTTTCAGGAAACATCCGTAGATTCAGGCGAGTCTGCGAGCACATTCAGTCTCAAGTCTGCTCGAGAAACGTGGGAATAACCTTAGGGAGCCAGAGCAGAGCAGCGCCGCCGAGTCCCCGGGCATCCCGAAAGTTCGCCAACGAGATGAGCGAAAGTTCCAGTTGCGGTAGCGACACCAGCGAACGACTGTTCCTAAGCCCGCACCCAGCTACCAGACAGGTAGTCTGTTTTTTCTCATTACCACACGTAACCCGTTTTTATTTCGATGTACACGTGTGTACCATCATCGGGGAAGCTGCAGAACGGAAAGGTGACGGGTAAATGTTGTCGCATCCCCTCGTCCCGTGACTTTCATTCGCCACATTCCTCCTAGTTATTCACCATATGTTCGTTAGTTCACGGCACACCTAGAAAGCAAACGATAGCTTCGAGCAATGCCTCCTAGAAAGTTGTAGATGGCACAATTTGGCCAGCTTCCTCGTAGAACAAACCCGCAACGATCGAAGAAAACCTCTCGATCTGGATCGTTCGTCGCTCAATCCTTTCTCGTACACCTTTTTCAGATCGACTCCGACCTCGAATCGGACACGTCCGTGTTCGACGTAAAATCGCCGACCCGCGAGAACGGGCGCAGGAGTTCCACGTCGACGAACAACAACAACCCGTTGCCGGGCGACTCGACGCCGACCCCCGGGAGCCCGACGAAGGCGGTGCGCAGCAACTCGGAGAGCCAGAACACGCCGGAGAAGAAGTGCGTGACCACGATGAGCGGCAACAGCATAGCGTGATACTACCAGAACATTCGTTTCGAGTTTCGATCCAGCCTGAAGAATCTCTGGGACAGCGCCCAGAGGTTCTGGTGAACACAATCTGTCGCCTCTCCGTCTCGCCTCGTTCGAGAGGAACGATCGAACGTCGAGAGCAAAACCCGGAAGTCAACCAGTCCGAGACCTAGAAGACTAAGCCCACTTGAATCTGCCAGAGAAAAACAGCGATGGGAATAGCAGAGAATTTCAGACAGAGAAATGTAAAAAGATAAAAGGGTATATTTCGTTAACTCAGAAGCCGAACGAAAGAGAATCGCAAGAACACTAAGGATAGATGGTATCTCGACACGCTGTCTAACGACGTTCGTAGAGGTTTCGACTATGGAACGGCAAGAACGTGTTGGAAGGTTTGACAGATTCGTCTCCAGCGAAGCAAGACTGACAGGATCGCGGAGGGAATGGTTCGCGAGGAACCGGAATAATCTGCAACGAAAGTTTGGCCACGTGCGCGAGACCTCGAGTTACGAGTTTTCCGTGTTTTACGTGTTCTCGACGTGTCTCGAGCACAAAATGATTCCAGAGGCGGCGTAGCAAAGGAGGAAACGCAGTGCCGCGGTCGCGAATCGTTTTGCTTCTCGCGTTCCGTCTCTCCAGTGATCGCGTTCGATTCGATTTGCGTCCCCCCACGCAAAGAAAAGTGAAGTGCAATAGTGACGTTGTATCGGTGTACACATCGGATCCGTGTTGTTGTAAGAGTGTTTTACTTGGTACGTATTATCATGTTGTGTATCACCAATTAGCCAATTTCGTTCTCGTAGCGTGCAAACGACCAAAGGAAACGACGGAGAAGTTACATACATACACGTGGAAATTCTTGTTCGCGCGTTTTCTTGTATTCGTACGAAAATATAAAGCAATCCGTACTACGAGAATATAATTTTCAATTATTTTCTAATAACTGATTGATCGTTACATTCAGACGTGTTCAGTCCGTTCATGGAAACATCGATCGCGGCGCAATTTTCCCGACTTTCGTCCGACAGAGCGCTCGAAGCTTCGCGCCGTGAACATCTCGAATCGAACCGCCAAAGTTTCTTCGAGAGTTCCACGGGCAAAGTTTCGCATCGCCTTGAATTTCACCGAAACTAGTTGTTAATTAACCTCTCCGAGTTGACAAGTTCCTGGAGTCGTTCCCGCTTTTTGTCGAGAGGCTTCTGTTTGTTATATAGGCAACGATCGATCGCGTATAGTTAATCCCGCGATTCTTTCAGCGTTATTGTTGAGTACGCGTTAAGTTTCAGTAGCTCTCTTCTCGGTTATATTTTCATCGTTTAACAAACCGAAGTAAGGGAAAACGTCGATTATCCGAAAGTGATTCGATTGCCGAACGAATAAAGACCGACTAGAAATTTCGCTTCTAACTCCTGTTCGAACGTTTCAGTTTGGTGTTTCGAGAAAGAAAGGTAGAGAGAGAGAGAGAGAGAGAGAGAGAGAGAGAGAGAGAGAGAGAGCAATCGGAACGAATGTTTATTCAAAATTCACAATAAATATACATACACACGAACACTTAGTCTCCCTATTTTACCTCCACGCGTTTCGGACATCCGTTTTTCTGAAATTTCGTAAACGATTTGTCGTCAAAAACGATACCTTCTCCCCTTTTGTTTCGGAGAATCGATGTTTTATCGAAAACAGTTGGATATACCTTACGCGCGAATACCCTCCAAACTCGATTTCAAGCCTTCTTAATCCAGCAGATAGACGCGAAGTTTACGTGAGTTAACGATCCCGTGAAACAGAGCTTCTCCCGGTACAGGGATGAAAATGGAAACTCCGGGACAAAGAATCTTCGACGACGATTAAAGTTTTCGGCGGCGCTATTTTTACACCATCCCCCGCAATAAGAATAGAACATTTTCAGTGTATTTAGTGCTTAAAGGACGCGCGCAGTTTCGATACTTGTCGGTACTTTCCATTTTCATTCTCGTGGATCCAATATTTATTCGACAGGAAACAAAGACTTCCTTTCGAGTTAGCCTGTGTGATACGAAACGATTGGATTCGCAACGGACACAGACGTAAGCATACACACACACACACATACAGACATACCGATGCTCTTTCGAATCTCAAGTCTCGAGATCTTTGATCTTGTTCTCCATAACGTGAAAGCCCGATGCAGCTCTTATTTCCTGTGTACACACAACCGTGAACGAGAAAAAGCTCCGCGAGCAAGAGACGCGGCACAGAGAGACAGAAAAGAAACGACTTTTAAAAACGTAAGACGGAAGAAAAGAAGGAGATGAAAATTCACTCACTTATACACATGTGTACACGTATAAAGAAGTAGGTTTCAGCAACAAGCGACGTGTCGGCAACGCGTACGGCTTCTTGTCTGCTTCTTACGCGAATTTAAAAGGGGAAAAAGTGAAAGAGAGAGTGTGTGTGTGAGAGAGACGGGGGAGGGAGAGAAAAGGGGAGAGAGGGAAGACCGAATCGTTGGCGAAGAAAGGATAGGATCTAGCGTTTCTAAGCATAGGATAGAGAGATAAGCGATAAAACAAAAAGAGTATACTTATCGTACACGTTTTTCTCAACAGACACCCAGACATATCGCCACAATTGTCCCGGCTTCTTAGTGGAACGACGAATGCATCGTAAAGCGCAACCTAGCACTGTTTTTTAACCAAAGGCTCGTTATAGACGTAACCAAAGTCGAATCCTGCCGATCGTAAGAATCTTCGCGAGTCTGTTCGCTGCCGACGAGTTTGCGGAATACATACATACAGTCATACATACATGCAGCGAGAAATGAAACGACTGTAGAACGTTCGAACATAGTAAAAATAGCGAAATATTTGTACACTTTTTCTTTTTGAAAACGTTCCTGCGTTAAGACCGAATAATAACGTTTCGGTAAACGGTAATTGCATATTAAACTCGAAATAACCACTCCAGGCATTCGAGGTTCCATCGTGTAAACCACATCGATGTCGAGAGACCTCGTAACGAAATTTCGAGTTTAAAAACTCGATTTTCGAAAGTCTCGAATATTATAGCTTATCAAGTAGTAGTTAATGTAGCTTCGTTCGACAACGAAAGCAGTGTTCGTGGAGAAAATCGTTTTCAGTTTTTCTATATGTAATTGGAGGACAGCGTCGCGGAATTTGATTCGATTTCGCGTCGAAGGCTCTTATCGGCAGATGTGACTCCGTTAGTCGTTAAAGTTGTTGCGGCTAGATAAACGTAGGCGAGGGGACGCGATCCTTAAATGTTCGCTCGAATAAAAAAAAAATCGCAATGTTAATGCCACGATGGTACTCTACCCCCAATGATTCCCGACGCCTCCCGCTTTAGACATACCTAATGGTACGTTTTGTCGCCAGCAAGCTCGTTCCAAGATGCAACGCGAGACCAACCAGGGAAAGAAAACGGATGATTTTTATTGCCGATAAAAAACTACGCCACAAGTAGTCGTACGCCTCCACAGGATCAGCAATTTTGTTTGTCGACGCGTTACATTTTCTTGTTAGAAGAATCGCGTCTAAACGACAAATGGAATCGTTGGTTCTCGTTTTTTCCTCTTCGAACTGGTCGGCTCTGAACAACGACGGAACGAGCTCGACGCAGGCGGGAACAGTACCGCGCGTACTTAGTTAGAGGAAATTGGAAATGGTCGGGCGATTAGACTTACGCATTCTTATCGACTCGGTATCCCGTATTTGTACTAAAGCATTCCATTAAGAAGCTTGCAGATAGAAAATAAGGACGGACGGCACCCAGCCGCGCATAGAATTCATAGGAAGAAACGAGGGGGGGGGGGGAATGCGTACGAACGCGACACGAAGATTGTTTATTAAATTTCGCGTTGACGAATCGGGCTTCGCAATACGCGAGTCTAAAGATCGTGAATTAACAGACGAGAAATAGTGTGATTGCTTGTATGAGAGAAAAAAAAGGAAGGTATGTAGGGGGCGGGTCGGAGAAACGCGAATACGGAGCGTAAATGGATCAAAGTAATAAAATTTGTCGTTGAATAGACGAGGACGAATCCTTAGTATCGTACGCGACACACACGTAACACACACACACACACACACACATACACCGTCACCTTATAAATTGAGATTAGACGTAAGCTTGCGGTTATCTATTTACAAATTGCGGATAAATATAAAACTACTCGTACGACGTAAGTAATAGGATTCAATCGAAGAAGGAGTGGGTGAGAAGGAATGGAAGGACTTGGGAGCGGACGGAAAAAGATCGACGAGGAGGCGAGAGAAACAAATTACCGGCCATACTAAGCTAGGATTTTATATCGTGCGAATTTAAGGGTGGAGAGAAATACTAAGGTACTTTGGTGAATACTCGAGTGAATGGATGGCACGGTGTGCCCGAGTATCAGATACCTCGGGATATACCGCTTTATGTCTCTTGCATTTCCATTCTGATTCGCGAGCAGCGCAAATTATCGCAGGACGCTATAGGTATACCACTACGGACGATTAAACAATACTCGCTATTCCCTCACATGTCTCCGATTTATTTTTTGACTCGCTTTTGCGTGATCCGTGAATTTCTGGTCACGCGCGACATCCGCTTCGACTCCCTCGGCCTCGAAACCGTTAGAAATTATTATCAAAGTGCAAGGATCTCGAATATTTTCAACTCGTCGCGGTAAGTTCCCAGTTATACGCCGATCAGCGTTATACGCTCCTACGATACGGTTCGATCCATCAAGAGGAACCGAGCATGAAACCGAGCGTAATTTCTGGAAATTTTCTGTACTCCGAACGATTGTCGCTGCGTGGGCAGAGATCGCGCGTGCTTTTCTCGGTGAATAGAGACGAGTTTTGCGAGCGAAAGCTGTAAGAGTGTAGAACCGTAGGATTATACAGATTCCCGACACCGTATCCTTAAGGCATTAAGCTAGGGCAGATAGAGGAGATTTTTATACAATTTATAAGGCGATTTGCAATCGATTTATTTATCGCACGTTTACTTGTTGACATTCTGTTATACGTATACGTAGATACGTATAGACTGCTTACGAGCGTGCATCGCGATAGCCTCGCTCAAGGAAACCGATCAGCGGAATTAAAACGTTGCGCAATGCATTTTAATACCGTTATATCGCATCGACGATGGATCGGTTCAACCGATTTCCCCGTTCCGTTTCGTCTCGAACGAGCGTGAATCGGGCGAGCGGTTGTTCGGCGAGAAAACAGTAACAATTGGACATCGGTCGGGGTTCCACGTTGCGAATCGCCCGAAACTGTGTCCGAAAGCAATACCTAAGTACATATACATGCTCGCGATTCCGTCAGAGTCCACAGATATTCCAATAAATTGAAAACACCGAGATCCGATCAATTCAACAGAAATATCGCGATAAAACAAGACCCGCGACCCCGCGCACAGAGAGATCCCTTCGAGGCTAGCAAACCGTCGAAGTAATATTTCTTTGCCCCGACGCGTGTACGACTTTTCCATCCGTAAACCTGAACTGCGGTTGCTAATAATGGCGCCATTATCCGTGGAAGCCTTAAAAGGAGTTTGAAAGCTCTCTCTTTTCCAGCCGAATCTTTTGAGCTGACGCCAACAGGCAGACTGCACCGGTGCATCGTCGCGTCTCGACTATACACATCCACCTATTGTAAGATATTCTCCCTGGTCGCTCGAGGTTCCGAGACATCGATTATTACCACGCTTCTGACGCATTCGTGTAACTATCGTGGTGTCTTTGCCAATCTCTCTGTACGGGCGACGTCGCGCACGGAGGATCGTGCCGAAAGACAAAGGAGAACGCTCGAACCTCGAAAGCTGCTCCACGTGTCCTAGACCATCGACTATTCTGTTCACAAGCAATGCTCGCTTTGAAGCGCAACCACCCAACACTTCTGTGTCTCTCGTTCCAGAACCAAGCTAATTACAGCTAGCTAACGTCGTTTCTCCGCTCTGTGCACACCAGCCGAAATCTTTGCCAACCTCTCAAGCTCGCCAACTGCTCCAATTAATTGTTCGACGCGAACGAAACACCTCTCCCCCTAACGATCACCCGCTTCGCAGTGAGATTTACTTGCTTATCGGCACCCACTTCCCACCGGAACATTCTATCGTGAACGCGACACTGTGATTCAAGTGGTTTCGCGACTCTCGCTATCGAGTAATGGAACTGGAACGTCTTCGAAATCTTGTCTCTTTAGCGAAACGCTCCGAAAGAATTTATTGATTCGAGAGATACTCGATTTCAACCGAGCCGAGAACAGAATGGAGTCATACGCTTAGATAAACGGACTAAAATTGACGGAGAGAAAAATTTCAAATATGTTTCACTCGAACGGTAAACTAGAACGTGCTGTCCTTAATCGTGATAATTATACAAAATATTTCATTTCTTCTTATTGCTATCGTAGGCAGATCGACAGTTGTACGAAGTGTTTGAATAAATGTTATTCGAGAAGGAGAAACGGCAAAAAAGCGGCGGGGGAATATTGCCCTGAAACAGAAGTGTCGCCTGGCAAAGTAGGTCGGCAAACCTTTGGCGAACTCGGTTCTACGCGGTCGCGAGTTAAGAACGCGATCAACAACGTCCGATTAGTTAGGGAAGTTTAGTGGAAGCGGAGCGTGATTTACGGTTCCGACGTGTCGGTCAGTGTGTTGCGAGTAAACCAGTTAAAAACTCACCTGAGAACGCTTCTTTTCGCGCTATTAGAGAATAGTCGTTGCGTTGCTGATTCGTTCTCCGCCCGAGGGTAGACCTTTACACACCGTTCACCAATTTTCTTCATTTCAAAGCTTTCGATGTTAGCACACCAATCTTCAGTTTCCTTCGGGTCGTTCGACAGACGTTTTCAAATCAAAAGTTGCTATTCCAGTCCTCGATCCCAAAGCTATGCACCATGCTAGGGCACTTGCCCCGAGACAATTTTTCAAGGGAATTTCTTCGAGAACCTTTAGCCAAGAATCTTTTCACGACGAATTACCGATACTTGTAGACGCAGCATTCACACTATACTATGCAGGCACATCTCGAGGAAAAAGAATGCTTAAAAATCGATATGTACACGAGGGATCCACGAGTCGTGTCTCGCGCGAACGAGCTTCGATTCCGAGTATCGATTATATGTGTTTCCTGTGAAGTCTTTCACTGCGAACATTCACGACATTCCAATACCGCGAAACATACGTTCGAAAAAGAAAAGACGTTAAACATACGTTCGAAGCTGTTACCCTAAATTCGTGTCTCTTCAAAATGCATATTCTAAAGCTAAAGCGTGATATACTGGGCGTTGCAATATATCTAAAATATTTCGAGATTCTCGAATAGCGATGGATGTTTCGAGAGCGTCGAAAAGAGTTGACGAATAACGGTACTTCTCGTAGATACTAATGTTTCGACGCGTTCAGAACATTTGAATGTTGTTGAATCGAAACATTAACATTGTTGAGTATTTTCGAGTTTTGCAATCATTTCTATAGTCGTGTAACGAGCGACATACTTCGTATCATTATCGTGGCTAAATTAATGAAAAATTTGATAGGGAGAGAAAATTGAACGGCCATCGCGAATCGTAATGCGCGCGCGATCATGCGAATCATTACCGACCGAGCGCTCGGTCGATCCTAACACTCCCGACACCCTCGAGTGAAACAATTCATATCAAAGATACATAATCAATATTCTGATTAAAGGATCCCAGGCGTACAGCGATTCGATTCACCAGTTGCGCGTTGTATGTACCGAGTATTTAGTAACGTCCATGACAACTGACAATAACGGCTGTGAGTCCGATAACGTTCTTTCCGAAAAATATCCTACTTATTCCTCGTTATAACTTGTCAGACCTATTCACGAGTGAAGCCTCTTACGCGATACTGATCCCAACCCCTCTCTCCGCGCTCTTTTCGGTTTCTAGCAGATTTGAATACCGTGTAACTCGTAAAAGGCTGTCCCTCGAAAGAATTTCCAACAAGAACGTTTTACGAATTACACCGTACAGAATGCAGTACCAGTTATATGTACAGCGGTCGTAAACTACAGTTACGTACAGAAGGCTTTGGACAGATTCAAACCATTTCGCTAAACTCGCCCACGCAAACTGCAGATCGATTCGAATTTCTGTTGTGAACTGATTGCATGACATGAAACATTTTACGACAACTAACAAAAATTTCAATATCGAGACAATGACAAACTTGAGACAACGACATCAATGTTCTCTGGATTTCTACGAAATTTGTTCACTGTTCTTTAATAATCACTCGTCTTATGGTACACGTCAGTTCTCATTAGGAATTTCGAAACCAGAAACGATCTCTCCGGTCGATGTTACCGGTGCATGTGTACAGCAATGATTTATGTACTCACCATGTGCAGCCGATTACGACGAAGTTACGGAACACTTGTCGATTATTTTGCGAATAAAAAATATTACCGGTGCAAATAGTTACGTCGACTCGAGTGTCGCCGGTTTTGAATTATAGAAACGAGAATTCGTAGACCGCGCGAAGTAACGTAACCACAACACTGAACAGATGACTTTGAGTGAATACTACGTGAGTCTACTGAACACTGATTGACTTCAAGGGGGCGATAAAACAAAAACGTTAAATACACTTTGGTACTTCCTAAAAAAAGGTAAACAGGTATCACTCGAACGTCGTAACTGTTATGTGAGCGAATCCCACCATACCACTTCATAATATAAACAACGGTTTGATCGTGCAGTCAACTAAGCGAAAGATCGGAACTATTCTTATTTAACATTTACATAAAAGAATAACAGTTTTAAATGCCGTTTATTTTTTTCGCGATTATTATACTATTTTTCACATTTAATGTACCGATAAAAAAAATTACAAACTCTTAAGGAGTTAATTAATACTTCAGTTGGTTAAATTTCAGAACAATTAATATTTAGCAACAGCAAACGTGACTTCACGATGAACCGTGCGATCTAATTGGACGATCGTTTTGGCGGGATTGGCCATTTGCACTGAATTCGATGCACTTGCAATGAACTATTTTTTTACTCGAAATAAGACAAAGAAAAGATCCTGCCCCAAAATCCCCTCATCCCGCATAGCGATGAAGTCAGCCGCTTTTTTTTCAATGTATCTTTTTCAGTTTCTGGAACTATTGTAACAATGTACGCGTATTGTGATTCGAGTCTCACGGTCCCATGAATGAATTAAGCGGTCTTCTTTTCTGGTGACTTCGAACGGATTTTATTTTAGGAAAGAATACAGTCGCTACGTCGACAGGTACAATTGACATTGATTGCGATTGTTTCGTTCGATTATACATTCTCGAGTAATTTCAATGATTCAATTACTATTTGTATAGTTTACTTGAAGCAAGCTACAGGTACAGTGTACAGTTATTCTACTAACGATTACTACTGGTACTTGTCACGCAATGACTATGAATTATTCTGTATTATTATAAAATATATCGTTAGTTTTCAAGTAAACGAATAAACATGAGAACGGCGGGGAGATAAAAATTGTAACATATTTGTTGATGGCCAATATCAAATATGTATAAAGGTAATAATAATGCAACATTACTAATAAACAAATATTACTAATTGCTCTGTAAACTTAATATATTCCCTGTAGATATTACATTTATTATAAAAAAATGTGTCGTTGTTACGAGAATTTCGTAACATTACGACAAACGAATCCACCGTACAAAACCCACAAATATTCAAATAACAACACACACAAACGTCAGTTGATCTTGTATGTATGGTTATGTTTACAGTTTACATACATTCAAACCTGTCATAGGACAATGCCGCGAAAACGTTCAGCGCGCTTGTAGATCGAGCTATTAAACAATTAAATCCTTAAATAATGCCAAAACGTTTGTGTCCATTCGAGGATGATTTACCACCGCAACTTAAAGTACACGTTGGTCAAAAACAAGTCGATAACGGTATTTGTCGAGAAGAACGAATGAAAAGTGTTTACGGTAGGGAGGTTATAATAACGATTGTATCGAACATTATTTTTTAAACTGCCTTTTTCATTGTTTCACGTAGGTAAAACGATGGAATTACTAAAAGAAGGTGTAAAATCGCTTTCTCGTAAATTAAATTCATCCATGGATATGAATTCTATCGATGTTTATTCACCGAAAGTACCATCTCCTTGCAAAATCAAACAGGAACGTAATTCGAAACAAATGGTGCTAAACAATAAGTTAGAATTATTAGGCGTGGACAAAGCCATAAAGGTAAGTCATTTATTTCCTGGCAATATAAATTGCATAAAATAAATTATTTCTGTTCCAAAATTTCTTTCATTTTTTATTTACATAACTTTTATGATTAATGACTTTTATTTTTTATGTTCTTTGAAGGATATTCAACCAAAATATGATCTTTGTGGATGCACTCGAGTGGTAGATAAAAGCATGTTAAGTAAATGTTCCTATTGCGATCAAGTTTTATGTAATACTTGCATCTTTGAGTGTATTAGCTGCTCAGAATCATTTTGTCAAAATTGTTCTTTACCTGTGTAAGTGACTTCATTATTTAATACACTTATTTAATATGAAGTATTCAATAATTATGACAATAATTTATTTGTAATTATTTCATTTCAGGTATGATTGTGAAGAACGAAACAAGTGCCTTAATTGTTATAAATAAAGTTAAAACATGTATATGAAATCATTTTCTATCAAAAACATATATTTATATTTAAAATTTCTTCAATGTAAATGGTTTTATAAAATTAAATAAAGAAACTAAAATTGTATAATTTTATATATCTGACACAAAAATGATCATTCTCTCGTACTCCCTATAAAATACAAAAATAATATTCCACAAATCTGTCATACTTCATTTCACCTTTGCCCTTTCTCTGAACGTTTTCAATGTTAAAATCAATTTGAACATTTATTAACAATCGATACAGTTTCGGTAAAGATATACGCATTCGAAAATTCCCGAAATGTACGCAAGTAATAGGGAAAACAAAAGACTGTCGACACCATGAAGCCATCGAAATAAGAAATTCACCGAGAAACATCTGTGATGAAACGTTACTATAATTTCGACGAATCCCCAATGATTTAAAAAAATCAATATGTATTCCAATCGATAGTATAATGTAATTTTAGAAGAAAAAGTTCTGGGCACTAATGGGAAAGATATTACGGAAAATTCATTAAAAAAAAAAATATATATATATATATATATATATATATACATAGTCGTTAATAGTTAACCGATACATCTTCGCACTTTATTTCCGTACAACTTGAGTGTAACGTGTAAAATTTTGGTAATTATTTTACGATGTAAAAGTTTATTATCTATAAGTAAATAAAATGTGTGTTACTAATTTTTTAAACTCTCCTATGACTTTAGATACTAACATGATTAAAGGAAAGAAAAACTTGAAGTTACCAATACAAGTCAGGGAAGATAAAGATGTTCACAGTACATTCAGGACTAAAAGCTCGGTAAGATATGAAAATACTTTAAAACGCTAAACCAAATGGAAGATTGTAACGAACAAAAGTCCAACTTGAATTATCCATTTACAGAATGTTAGAAAGGGAAGAAAATTTGGCTTGTCACAGCATTGTCAAAAAGCAAGTACAAAGGAAAAAGTAAAACCCAAAAAGACAAACAAATGTCATCTGAAGTCTGAAAATGTAAGTCTCTCAGATACACTTTTGAAACATAATGAAGAAACATATAAATATCAAATTCAGCAGTTAGATCTAATTTTAAAAGGGTCTGTATATTGTCCAACACTTACGCAAGATGAATTACAAATGTTATTTATGAAATACAAAGTAGATGGACATTATAAAACAAATAAAAATTTACCAACATTTACTAATCAGCCAGATGAAGCACAGAATACAAGTAATAATAGGAATAATTTTTATAATGAAGCAAAATATACATCCACTTCTGATATGCAAAGATTAAACTATAGAAACAATAATGATACATTTGCAAATTTATATTATAATAGTACTAATGAAAATCAATGTATAGAAGAGAATTTCAACATCTACAGAAACATGCAACAAAACTTAAAATATAATACATGCAAACAAAGAGATATTCTCATGGAGAGTAACACAAACAATGGAAATGATAATGAATATTATCCTATTGACCAAAATACTGTAAATAATCAAAATTATAATCATGCTGTTGCAAATTATGATACGCAAACATATACTAACACAAGCATATTCAGTGGTATGCAAAACATTGGCCAGACCACATCAAACTTTGTTAATGTCTCTGATATGGAAGAGGAACATATTTCAAGTAATTTAGCAAACACAGTAAACATTCTTGCAGAAGGACATCACAGTTCCCCATATGCAAATAAAAATTTCCTTTGCAATGTATCTGATTCAAATATTCAGTATGAAAATTTTAAAAGTATCAGTGGAAATTTACAACAGAATAATGAACACCCTGCACTGCAATATTTTGACCTATCATTCAATCAAAACATTTATAATAACTTTCATTCTGAAAGATGGGTTAACAATACCTATCCAATAAATGAAACCAGCAATTACCAGTCGTGTAAGAGTGAACAGTCAGTTTGTATGCCTGAAACCAATAACTTAGAATGGTACCATAATTATGGAAGTCATTCAGAAGACCAAAATATTTTCAATCCACACATCCAAACAAATCAATATCCTTTTATGAGTAATGAAAATTTAAATCATATTGCCGGCAATAATAACATAGGCAGTCAACAAAATTTTGATACTTATACCTCAAGTTCATCAGTTGCATCAGATAATTTTTTTCCTGAGACAACTTCATTTCTTGCATCTTTTACGAATGTCACTGATCAGTATATGTAAAGCACTGTAATGTTATGACTATTTAATATTTTATTAAAATATTCTATATATATTAATATACAGTTTTATGGTAAAGATGTGGCACAAAAAATATCAGTATATACATAAGTTTTCTGTTCTTTAATATAAAACGAATTAACATGTTTGTGGACAAGATGTTGTAGGCACATTCCTATTTCTGTTTAATTAACACGTCAATTTATGTTTTTATGCAAAAATATGTTCTAACTGTACGGATATTCATGATAGGTAAAAAGTACAGCTAATCACAATTATATCAAAAAATTGATCAGTCTATAATCCTTGCTTGCAAGTAATGTATACCACATTTAAGGTTTTTAACTCGACTTTAGATAAGTGTAAAAAAAAATTGAGTGTTACATATTCGTAAAAAAGTAATATATATATATTGTGTTGTAATAAACTTTGAATGCATTTTAAGTCTTATGTGTATCTGAACCAAAAACATGGTCCCCATAAACTTTTTACCTATATAACGTCATATGTAATACTTTCTTTTATATTTAAATATAGCAATGTATTGTAAATTTCGTAAAATAATAATTACATTTTTAGTACAAAATGCATTAAGTACAAAACTTATAGTGATGTCATATAAAGTTATTAGAAATTTCATTTCAATTAACTAAAGATGTACATATCACAATACTAATCAGTAGTTAACATAAAAGGGATAAATTATTAATGTATAGAAGTACAATTCTATTTCTTCATAATGCCATTGCATTTTACGTCTTGAGAATTATAAAAACTAGATTTATGAAAATTTAGGTTTTGTAATTAATTTAAGTTAACTGATAAAAAGAAAAATCTTATGGCTTATGGCAATGATATTGATTATTCGTCACGATTAAAATCATTACGTTATAGGCAAACAATATACATATATAAAAGAAATTCTTACAGATTATAAGGGAGTTATGTTTGTATGGTCCTTTGCGTTTTTACGATAACCGGAGAAATCCGTTACTAAATCAATTTCATCTACATCCTCACCAAGAAGTCGACCCTCTACATCGTCTTTAGATCTCCTGAATAACCTGGAATTGATATTTTTAATACAAAGAAATTGTTAAACACATGAGAAAAAAATTCAAGTACCAACATATAGATTAAAATCTATGCATATTACCTTGTTTAATATTTAAGACAGTTTAGTTTTAGTTTGTAATGCTGTGCAACTACATCTAATTTTAACAGTGATCATGACATTAAAAAAAATAAATACCTTCATATCAAACTGTTGTTAGAAGCATTACCAATATACGTATGTGCATATATATATATATATATATATTGTGTTAGCTACATATGAAATCATGAGTCAAATTAGTTGTAGCTTACTTCATACACCAACACTACTGACTAAAAGCAAATTAAAGCAGCCACGTTGTTAAAATAGCATAAAAAATAAAATATTGTAAACATGGGACATTCTTCTGTCAATCAGTTGGAAGAGTTACAAGTAGTGGCCTCCTTAAATATTGCTGTAACATTTTGAAGTTTGAAAAAGTTTCGAATCAGCATGCATGTAAACAATAGGAAATAAATGTTGCAAAGGCGTGCAAAAGAATATACAAACCAACAATCAAAAGGGAAGCAAATCTTCAGGAACAGGTCACATGTCTATCACGTAATGTATCTATTCAAAAAGTATGAGTATTTATTTACAAAATTTCTTTGTACAATAATTGAAATAGACGTACAATACTAATTAATATTAACCTTTTTTTTAATAATATAACAGCATCCATTTACATTTAATACAATATATACAATTTGTTAAGATTATGAATGTTTCTTGCAAATTACTTACAACACAAAAATTTTACTTTATTCGAACATTGTCTCTCCTTAAAATTTTTTTATTCAGTCTTATATTATATCTATGTTATATTATAAACATTGGTTCTGTAAAATTAGTTTAAAGTTCACAGCCTGTTTTATTTGCACGCGACATCCTAAATTTTGATAGTGGTGGAAAATATTCTATAATAATTAAATTGTTAGTTACATTACAATCAAGTGAATATATTTATGTACAATTTTTGATTAGCAATACCATCGAGTTTTACCGGCCTTTGTTAGTATGATACAATATCAAAAATAAAAATGAAAAAGAACAAGCGCGAAAGATCGAATAAAGCCGACACCTCGTTATTAGTTACAATCGAAGATATTACAACGACTTTTGATATTCCAATTACTTTACTGTGACTCCATCAAGCAGTGGGATTATTACAATTTCGTACATACTTTGAAAGTATAGTAGTTGTTTGAGCATACCTGGACAAAGACGAGGCAGATCTGTGCATAATCGGCATTACCGAATCGTCCAAACCGCGATGAAGGGATATCGTGTCTAGATCGATCATCCTTGCTGTGGAATGGGCATGCATCGCTGATAAATATTCCGGTGTTTCTAGAGTAGCCTTTGTTGGTTTGCGATATCTATAAACACATATGCAAATCTCAACTTGTTTTTACCCATTCACAGTACATATTTTTTTCCATTCGAGACTTACAATTTTAACAGTAAAGAACTTCCAACTACGGAGACGGAACTTAAAGCCATTGCCGCTGAAGACATCCAGGGTTGTAAAAAAAATCCAAAAGAACTAAATATCCCAGCGGCAATTGGAATACCAAGTAAATTGTAAATACTGGCGAACAAGAAATTCAGCCTTATTCGACGAACCGTTTTTCTCGACAGATCCAGACATGCTATGACATCCAAAAGATCATTCTACAAGAATTGAAATGTATTATCGGACATTGTGTGCTGTGAAGAGAGCATTGTAGTTTTGCTAATTAGATAAAAAGTTTTTGTATTTACTCGCATAAGAACTACGTGAGCAGCTTCTACGGCAACATCTGTGCCGGAAGATATCGCAATACCGACGTCCGATTGCGCAAGAGCAGGACTATCATTAACACCGTCTCCTACCATTGCAACCCTCAGGCCTTGGTCTTGTAAACGCTGAATTTTTGCAACTTTGTGCGAAGGTAACACTTCTGCGAACACTCTGGTGATACCAACCTGAGCGTTTGGCAAGTATATAAATTAATAATAAATTCATATAACATGTAACATTGAAAGTCTTCCGAGAAAGTATTTAAGTTTCTGTTAGGTTTTCTTTTACTTACCTGTCTAGCAATAGAAGCTGCAGTCTTTCTATTATCTCCTGTCAAAAGTATCACTTCCAAACCCATTTTCTTTAATGTATAAATGGCCAGATGGGCTTCCGGCTTAACCGTATCAGCCACACTAATCATAGCCACCAAAACGTTATTTACCGATGCCAAGACGGCTGTATGACCCAGGTCTTCTTCGCTGGTCATTCTTGACTCTACCTCCAGAGGTATATTTACAGCATTTCTTCGCATCCACTCTCTGTTACCAATGCATATTTCATATACATCCTCGGTACTAACTTGATCACCGTGCGAATCGGGACTTAATAATAATTCTAAGTTCTGATTTTGTCTTTCTTGGCTCGCGCTTGCAACCGACACGACGTCAATTGACACATTGTTCAAATTGTACGTTGAGGAAGACAACTTTTTTGCATGATTCACGTAGTTTATGATTTTCTCGGACTTCATGGCCTCGGCCAATGTGGTCGAAATATGTGAGACTTTGCACTTAAGACCGCAGCCAGCGATTGCCTGAAAATTGGAACACTTTCCAGTGGCCTCGGAACCAATCGTCTCTTTCACGTAGCGGACAATTGCTGAAAGAGGAATAATGATTTGTTAAAAATTTTGTAAAGCTGGATAAACGCATAAATATTTCCCTAACTTACCCGATGCAATTGGATGCTCGCTATTAGTCTCCGCCGTGCAAACGATAACTAAGAATTTCGATAAAGAACAGATTTTTTCATCCACGAACAGACATATTTTTGTTACCATCGGTACACCGTGTGTTATCGTTCCCGTTTTATCAAATACGATACACTTGACTTTGTGCGCATTTTCCAAGGGTTCGGCACCCTTGATCAAAATACCATTTAGCGCGCCGACTCCGGTACCGACCATAACGGCAGTCGGCGTGGCCAAGCCCAACGCACATGGACAGGCTATCGCCAACACAGCTAAAGCACTTCGAAAAGCATATTGAAATATAATTTCCTCTCTGTTCATGCCGTGTCTATTAATTTGATCGTTGTGCGAAATTGGCAATTCGTCTATATTTACATATCCTACTATAATCCAAATGATTAGGGTCACTATGGAGACAGCAATAACCAGGGGAATGAAATAACCCGCAATCTTATCAGCTAAATGCTGAATAGGTGCCTTATTCGTTTGTGCCTCTTCTACTAATCGAACAATTTGTGCCAGCGTCGTGCGCTCGCCCGTATGCGTTGCGGTAATCAATAATGGCCCGTTTTGATTTATCGAACCACCGATCACCACCGAACCCTTCTTCTTTGGTACCGGCATACTTTCTCCGGTTATCAGGCTCTCGTCGCAAGTCGAATGTCCGGAGAGGACTCTACCGTCGACGGGAACTTTGGCACCTGGTACTACTTTTAATACATCTCCCCGCTGTACGAGATCGATACTGATCAAACGTTCAGACAGTATCTCATTGTTTGGACCTAAAGTGACTAACACTGCGTCCGTTGCTTTTAAAGATAACAACTTTGATAATGCCTCTGAAGTTTTACCCTAAAATGATTACGTGCTTCTTATTACTTCATTTTCTATCGTACCAATGCAAGCAGGGTTGAGAATACTATGGTTTCGAAAATTGCTCGTACCTTTGCAACGTGTTCCAACCATCTTCCTAAACTGATAAAGACCAGCAACATCGGTGGAGTATCAAAAAACGTTTGAGGACTAACATGCTCCTGCATTATCATAGCAGCAGTGAGTACAGCGACTGAATACAAATAAGATATCGTGGTGGTCATAGAAATCAGAACATCCATGTTAGTTGTTCCATGCTTTAAAGCTTTATAGGCTTGGACGTAAAAGTGCCAGCCACCGAAGAACTGCAAGCATTATTCGGATTAACAAACGATTTTCTAGTCATTCATGGAAGAGAATCTTGACAATTACCTGCACAGGCGTAGAAAATATAAAAAGAATTAAGTTCTCCCACGAAAGACCAGGTATCACGCAGCACATGTCCTCGTGTGACTTTTCACCGACAGACATAACTACCATAAAGTACGTCATAGCTAACATGCATGGTATGCCAAAAATTAGAGATACCAAAAACGCAGCTCGCCATTTGTTTATTTCTTCTCTGTGGAAATACAAATAAATCACATAAGTGTTCACATTTGACTATACGTTTTCCAATCATTTAAGTTGAAACGATGCTGCATGTGCTTACCTCTGATCCAAATAGTCTCGGTTATCCTTGTCTCTATTGGTGATCAACGTCGCGGTGAAACCTAACTTGTTGATACATTCAATGATGTCCCTGACGCCGATTTTCTCCACGTCGTATTTGAATTTGCCTCGCTGTGTCGCCAACGCGACAACTGCCGAATGAACACCCACCAGTTTCTTCACAGTCGATTCTATTTTATTCACGCAAGATGCGCACGTCATGCCTGATATCTAATTGTAAAACAATAAAATATTAAAGAATCAATTATATGTACTTCCGATACGAGACTTACTTTCAATTCACTTTCTCCTTCTCCAGTCCCTGGTTCCTCGATCAAGGTGGTAGGGAAGCCCAACTCGGATATGCTGGAGGCAATGTCAATCGCCCTTATTTTATCCGGATCGAACGAGACTTCTGCCTTGGCAGCCATAAGTGCCACCAGGATGTTGTTCACACCGTACAATTTTTTACAATGTTTTTCGATGGCAGCAACACAGGAAGCGCAGGTCATTCCCTTTGGAAATAACAAATCGATAGACTGGGTTAAAGCAAGAATGCGGGTTAACGACGTGATCCGAGTTTACAAAAATCGAATTCACATATTTCTCGTACAGACGATAAAAAAGTGTAATTTTTACTATGTTCATTAACGCATGAAAACTGTTGGAAAACTAAACGTTTAGAATTTTTCTCCTTTAAGTAGGAGTTGGAAAGTTTCGACGAGTTTCTTTACGCCTCCATGAGCAACAGAAATATTTAAGCTTAAGCGGATCAATTTAACTGGTTCGTCTTGTATAATTCAATTATCGTAGCAGAATACTTACCGTGATATGCAAAAAGCATTTCGCTACTTGGGCCTGAACTTTCAAGTCCCCGGCACCATTCATTTGCAGTGAAATTTCTCCATTCTTTGCGTTAATAGTTTTCACCGGAGCATTCGTCGACGTTACGAAAACTTTATCGTTTGTTTCCTTAACGAACGCACCGAAGCCCATTTCTTCGATGTATTTCGCTATCTGTTCAGCTGTTAAATCGTTCGCGTTATAAGAAACTTTAGCTTCCTTGTTCTCTAAACTGACGGTCACATCGCTTATGCCCGATGTTTCTGATAAAACACCTGCAACAGAAAAAGTGTACGTGACCGAAAGGTAAGGTCTTCGATGTCTATGAGGTGTCCATGTTGGTCTCATTTGTCTGCAATGAAACCGCTTTCGATCGTGTAAATCCCACTACTTCTTCGATTGCGATAAATTCGGTATTTTCGAAAAATTCTGCGGTATTGTATCGCGTCTGTTCCCACGAACCAATTCGAAAGCCAACAAAAGATATTAAACTGATCTAGTTCACCTGTGATGGTTTTTACGCACGACATACAAGTCATTCCATCGACATGTATGCTGCAAGTGCTGGCCGAGGATTCTGTCGACATAGTTTTCTCCTCGGTCCTTGCAGATTCCGTTTTATCTCCGTGCAGGGAAGCGACGAACCCCATATCCTCTATCGCTTCGACCAATTCGCTTTCCGTGACTTCGTCGGGTTTGTAATCGATGTGGCCAGCTTTCTCCTCCAGCACCACCTTAACATTCACGACCCCGTCTCGACCGCCCATCGTCCCCTCGATGTTCTTCACGCAGCTCTGGCATCTCATACCCTCGATATCAATCCTCACCGTGGCGGTATTCGGGGAATCTTTAATTTCTTGGGAGCGTGGGACACGGACCAACTGCGACGTGCCCTCGAAGTCGGCGGCGTCGTCGTCGTCGTCGCCATCCCTAAACAATGCGCATCGATGCACTCGTTAATCGTGGGCATGTCGAATCGTCTAATTCGAATCGAGTTCCAGAGACCCCGTATTTCTCGGTAAACACTGTTTTCTCCATTTTCCCTCGCGATTCGCGATCAGAGAACAGGGAACATAGTCGAAAACGTTACGTTCGACGGATTTCGCCCGTTGCAACAAACGCTGTTATCGGAAATTTTGCGGAAGAAAAAATTGCTCGTTATCGGACAAGGTTTAGCTACGACGTCGCGCTATCGCAAAAACATTAGAGATTAATCCTGGACATGCATTCGCTTCCTACTACGTCGATTTCTCGTCGAGGCAAATGGAAATAAACGGTAGGTACGAGTTTACGTTACTCGCTTGCATTTTAAATACATACATATATGTCATATATCATCAGGTGTGCGGACGAGAGGCAATGTTGAACAAACTCGCGACACCGAGTATAATATTCTTCTTTTTTTTTTTTCGCTTATTCAAGTGCCAACTTGAAACACGGGTTTCTGGCCTTATCGCGAAGGAGATGTATTTCGATTGATCTTAATTATGTAACCAAAACTATTGCCGTTACAACGAACGTTGTTAAACCACGCATGTACCATAATGTCCATAATTTCATATCGAGTATGTACATCGACGTCACTCGCTGATTCGTTAATCGCTTAATTAAATTGCGCGATTAAATAAGGATCCCTTATCGCCGCGAACAGAAACGAGACAACGACAATGGATGATTAAGGACACGAATGTTCGAGTCTCAGATTGCCAAAATCTCGACGAGATACAGAGAAGAAAGCTAACGATACAAAGCAGGAAAGGCTCGTCTATCGGTATCGGCTGTTCCGATACATAAATAATATTAGTTAAAGTCTCAGAGCGAAAAAATTAGCGAAGTACTTGTTCCGTGTAGAAACCTGTAAACAGCTATCCTAACACGGTCACAAACACGATTCACTCGAAGCTTACCAAAAACTGTCCGTCTCCCCGTAAGTTTTTCCGATCAGCGGCTGCCTGTCTTCATCCATCGTGTTCTCGTAAACCGTGTACCGATGCACTTGGGAGCCAGAAAATCTTTCTAAACGTCTAAACGGTCGCGCTTGCATAAAACACCGCAAACGTTAGATGACGACATCGATGGACGAATCACGGTCACGTCCAGCGATTAAGAATTTCTAACGATCGCCCGGGCTAATTACGTCAAACCTCGTGGCCTCCCGACCGAATCAGCTCGCGATTCTATGACGCAAAATCGGATGTCCTTGACGGATGTACCGCGAAAAACTGACGAAAAATCACAACCTTTCGGTCACGAATTATTCGATTACGTAAAATATTTATAATAAGGAAAGTACGACGATAACGTTTCAAGGTTGAACGTTGCAATTCATTTCCGGTCGCGGTGTGCTCGAGGGCACGATCGAATTTTCGGAAAACACACGAGGATCCTCGAGAAAAGGAATTTCGAAAATTCGAAAAAGCTACAGCTCGTAGACGTTGAACCAGGACACCGGGTACTGGTAACGACGTGATCGTAGTCGTCAGGCAAGGATGTCTACGAAATCGAAGGAGGTTTCCCCTCGCGTCCTTGTCAGGCTCGTCCAGGACCGTACGTCCAGATCGAATCACGTTTGTCAAAAGCAAGCAGTTCCGGTAATCGGTCGAGTGGGGCAGACGTAAAACCGCGTGTCCGTGTGCTCGACTCGAAATGATATCGTCCGACCGACTGATAACTCTTGTAATCGCGTATCAGCCCGCAGGCCACGCTCGTTCCGATCCCGTCTTTTTGCTCACGGTACTCATTCAACCTCTTGCTTGCCCTCCTACAAGGACTAACCGATACCACCACCGGACAGCGGTTGCACACGGTTTCGAGGAGCTTCTCGATCGTTCACAGCCACTCTCTTTCGTAAGTTCCGCTCGGACGCGGGGACACGTCTACTCGAATGTCTCACTGCTCACTGCACAAGATGTTCCTGAAATGTTTTTCTCTTAATCGAGAAAATATTATACGCAAGTGTAGAGGAATTTTCGTTCGCGGAGTGCTGTACTCGTTTAAAATTAAAAGAAATTTTTATCATTATGCTCGCTATCCAACTGTTCAAACAGCGTTAATCAATACTCCCCTGTTCTTTCGTTTGTTTCCGATTGATTTTTATAATGCCACAGCTGGAACGATTCATATTGTTCTCCGAATCAGTTAACCGTTAACTAATCTACGGCTTAGTGGGTGCAAAATTCTGTGGAATGGGCAAAGCTTTAAATGTATATACATACATATTATGTACATATGTGGCTAGGTGTACGTAACATTTTTCACCGAAGTGATTAACAGAGAGTGTCACTGACACATGATATCTTGTAAATGTGAAAATTCGGTTATTTGTCGGTGCAACGAACCATTTTGTATAATCTTACATCGTTTACTTGACAGATTGACATTTTTTCTGCTTCGGTGAAGAAAATATTCCGTTTAAAAATATGCACATGTAAGAACCACGACGCACACGCGTACGTTTTCGGTGTTATCGCGTGAACAACGGAGAAGAAACAAAATTAGAAAGGGAAACATCCCGTCACACTTTCTGCTTGTCACACTTTCATCGAACACTGACCGTTACAGGTCTACGTGGACCAATTTTTCATCTGCGTCGCTTCTTTTTGGTAATCGTTCAACGGCCACGATTAACGTTAAATAAATATCTTTTCAAAACGACCAACTGTTTTGAGAAAGTTTATCGACCGTTTCCACTGATTGTTGAATTAAGGACTACGTATAAATCGACAAAGAGGAAAGAAACTAGAATACGGTCCAACGAAATTCAGCCAATTTTAAGAACTCACAAGACTGTGGACGATCAGCCGTACCACGAATTCATATCGGAATGTGGTACGTTTGGTCGCAATAACAAGTAAAACCTTCTGTTTAGTTCCAACTAACAGCACGACAGATTTTATGGTTGCGACAAAATTGTAGAAAAATTTCTTTCCCATACATTCAGATTTCAATGCAGCATACACGATGCATCCTGGCATTTACTCTACATGCTATAGGCGCAACTGAGATCGCGAAGGGAGTAAAGCTACTAACCCGATCAGTTTCCTACCCTCTTCTTTAGCGTCCCCGTGATCCCGCGACCAAGAAGAGGATCCTCCTCGAATATTTAACAGAGCACACCCTGCGGATTTCGCTCGATGCACAAAGGGCACGGCGTACCTCGGCATCCTGACTTGGTCCATTCCCCACGAAACACCCGTGTCGCGAGATGTCCGACCATGGATTCGTTATCCCCTAACCGGCGTCGACAGCACAGCACAGCACAGCACAGCACAGCACAACACAACACTCCACTCCACTCCAACGGATCAAAATCTCCACGAATTACTCCTCGTTATCGAATTTTCAAATAAAGTCAACTCTCTCTTTTGTACATGTATGGCAGTCTCGAGGGAAATAAGCGGTAGTATTTGCCCTGTTGTTTCTTGTTTGTTCAATCGCTCGAATTTTGTACAGTTGCGACGTTGTCGCAAACACTTGTCTCCGGAACGTTGACTCGATCGTCAATGATGTCCGACCTAGCGATATCTTTCGCCGTTAAAATCGGTACTTTATTTTCCAAGATTCAGACATGTTATTCGACCTTTCTTCAATTTCTTTTAAAAAAAACGATATGACCAATGAAAAGTTCACATACACTTGAAACTAATTAATAATATAAATTTAAAAAATCGCTCTTTTAATGGTACTTGTGTATTTGTAGGAATATTTTAGTCCCTCTAGTCTACTGTACAACATACACTTATACGGTTATTTCAGTTCTTCAGTTTTTGTCTGGTCCGCCGAGATTATACTTCGCCAAAAACAGTAAAAATAAAGTTTACAGAGACACGATAAGAGCGACAGTTTATTATTATGTCGTGCGCAGATATTACAACAGCGTTGCCGTTCAAAAGCATCGATTCGTAAAAATACTTGGAAAAACACATCGGAGGTTTTTGACGATAGTGTTATAAAGAAACGGAACGATATCTGTTAAAAAATATGCATAAATATTCCCGTTTGGAAAGAATGTATTTCATTTAAAGAAGCATTTCACTCTTCGTTGCATGAGAATGAAAAAGAATCGAGAGATCGGTGTAGCGGATCTATCTTCGTGACTTAACGCATAATCTATTTTCTACGATGGTTATCTGTAGCACTTTCACAAAAAAGAAAGAACCGATGCACCGAGCCATTTACCAACGATAGTGCTAAATAGCATACCCCCTATACTAGATATCGACAAGAACATTGCTTATTGCTCGCAGCGTCGAAGAAAAAAAGTCATTCCAATTTCCAATGATTCCTCCGTCTTTACCGATAGAGTTGAATTTCAATGCTTGGATGATTCATTTCATAGCATCGAGTCCAGGAAACGTTGCCTCGAATTTCTTGTGTATGTACCGTAAACCGTAAGTGAGTAGGAAAGTCGACCACTGTTCCTGTTCAAAATATCACCGTGTATCACAGTATATTACGTAGAACTTTGATCACACGCGAATAATCTTGTTTCCTCGTCCTTCGCGAAGCCCCAGTTGTATATTATTGTTTTTCTACTATCGTTAGTAGACAACATTCCCGTACTATCGCGAGTAACGCAACCTGTTGAATCCTGACATTCGATCGACATATGCGAGGCGACTCGATCTATCTTTTGATGATTAACAATTCACTTCATCGAGCCAGAAATCGACGATAACTCGATAAAACGTCGGTTATCCTGTTTTCTCTTCTTTGGTCTCTAAAGGCACTTTTTCTTTTCGAAACGGAAAGGATAAAGTTGAATCCGCCCTATACAAAAGCACCACCGCAGCCGAGAATGCTGATGAAATAATTGTATCGAATGTTTTAAACGCGACATGTTTCACGGATAGAAACCGTGACGGAAATGAACGTTTCGATGGGACCAGATACACCCGAGAGAATGGTTTCGACATGTATCGAGTCAACCGGAGAGAAAGGTATGCTCCAGTTATATCCGCGAGATTTTTCAGTCGTGTCATTTCCTCGTCTGACCAGCTCGAAACACCACGCGACACGAAAATTCGTAAATAGTTCAGTGACTCCTCGTCGGATTGAACGATCTCACTTTTAAACTTTACCCGAAAGAGGGATTCATCGACTGGTTCAGACTCTAAGTAACACTTAGTCTCTTTGAATAAATGTCGTTCAGTTGTGATCGTAGTTGTATTTCAATCTTAAAATATTTCAAAGGCATCGTGACCTGACCCACGCGGAATGACAGGCCTCGAGATAATGCTATGACAATTATCAAACGAACAACAGAACAATGATAAAATCTATTATCCCTATTTAATTGTAGCATTGTATATTTCTGTCGCTTTGGTAATTGTATCGAATCGTTATCGTTGAGTCTGCAGGGTATCGCAACGCACAGAAGAGACCACTAGTCTAAAAAAAAGCGATATCTTCAAATATATCAAGAGAATGCAGAGGTAATGATTGTCAACTGTGTGATCGAGCTTGAGTGTAATTTTAGTTCTAATAACCAGAAAATATTCGAGCCCGAAACCGTTTCAATTTTGGAGTAGAAAATTTTGAAATGTACGATACGTAGAATAAACTTACCCAAAATTCAAATTAGAATTTAGTAGCTTATATTTCCAGGTAGAATAAAACCGCTGCATGACGATGCAAATAGGTTTTGCATGCGTAATATTTGACAAGTTACTTGAACACACCGCGTATATACGATACTCGTTCAAATTACATCAGATACGATAACCGGCAAATTTCTGTGTCGACTGTGAAAATTGAAGAACCGGCATGCTGGAACGTAGCCTCGTGAACGAATTCGTTAGTGATGAACATCAAGAAATCGTACTGGAAGTAAAACCGATGGAAGCGTACCTACTCGACTTGAACGATCAACCGGCGGAGATTGTATTTCGAGAATCGATTTACTTCCTGTTTAATTAGAAAATGATGCCACGCACTATCGTGTCTCTTGAAATACAATCGTCCAGTAACGATTTTCAAAACATTATACCACCCCGTAGGTTTGTATGTTGAATTCGATCGAACTTTGTATTCTATCACGGGCAAATATACCGCTCACGTTCCTTACAGTTTAAACAACAAAATCCTCGAACGTTGTACGTGTTAACACATTTTCTTGTAACTTAACTGGTATCGCGCTTTTAGCTTAAAACATTCTACTTTACTATCTGAATACCAAAACGGTTAAACCGACAATGAATAAACAATAATTTAAAACTTCAAAGGTAAATTAGACGACCTTCGTTGACTAGTGGTTACTATATAATTAAAATTGGACGATAATAGCATCAACGATATCGGAACGTTTACATAGTCCACCGACAATGCGTAGCTAGTTTCATTTACAGTTTATTTCCAACCATTTTTCCGCACAAGTATTTTTATTCACAGGCAAAAAACTATAAACATTTATAAATACTAAAATTATTGTAACATAATTATCATAGATTACCACATATTATAAAATATTAATTAATATACAGGATACAGTTAAGATGCATGTTCAAAAACTACTAATGCCAACTTCGATTAATGCAATTATACCGACGAAAAATGGCACGGTAAGAATCTGTGACACTAAATATAAAGCTTTGTTTTTACAAGCTTTCAGTCTATCTGAGAGTTGAAACATTCTGAGCCAATTTTAAGATAAAAAACAATATTAATCTGTCTACTCCTTAACCAAAAAAATGTTACTTTTACTATGGATACTACCCACACAAAAAAGTCACTTACCCTTCTTTTTGTACTATCACCTCTGTTCCTCTATTTGTTACTTGGGAGCTCTGTCCTGAAACAAAAATGGACAAATGCAACATTTCCAAGCTGTCTTTTTTTATTTATATGGCAATAACATTCTATACAATCTATTAAATGTAGTTGAATGAAAATTTAAATACCTGTATTTGTTTTGTCGAGTTGGTACCTGTCTTCTACCAATTCCTTTGTGTTAACCACCTCCATTTTTGGCTACAAAACAACAACACAATAGATAAATGTCTAATTAAAGATATTAAAGCACGAATGTTCGACTAATTATGTTCTCATAAATAATGAACGGTTGAACTGTAATGTAATAAGATTTTAATGTCTTTTACAAATGTACAAAAGTAAATAATGGAGTACAGGAAATCAGTGGCAAAACATCAATGTGCTTTACTGTTGATTTCCATTCTGGATTGTGTAAAAAAAAAAGAGCAAAATATGAGAAAAGAAAGCTTGTGAACTAATCAACAGTCTCTAGACTGCACACAAATTAGATCACCAATTGATATTACTAATTAGCGCTATTGTTCGTTCATACGGAGTGTGTGTAATACTCACATCTGTGAAAAAAATCGAACTAAAGAAACAACGTGACACATTTAGAAAATACGTACCAGTTACGGATCTATTCAGTCAAATATTTTCATAAAAATGAAAGATTTAATCGAGGTTTCGATCTGTTCACTGGTTCGCGCACATTATGCACCATCGAAAGTGGATACATCACTTGCAAGACTTTTGCACTGGACTGATCACAACAACAAGTGTCAAGATATGCTTTGCTCCGAATTAGTCAAACAAGAAGTTCCGAGGCATAAATTAGGTTAAACACTTTCTCTGACTTTTATCGCAAGTATCCTTACCGAAGATCATTAAACAGCTGATTGCAAAGATAACATTACACTACGCTTATTTTTTTGTAAATTTTAGATAACCTGGAAGAGGGAGTTCAAGCCGAACGAAAAAACCATTAGATTACACATCAACGAACTATGCATACGATAAATATACACATACATATACATATACAGTACACTTGATAGACTTCCGATAGTTGGCAAGTTGGCTGGCTCAGTTTGTCTTCTTGTCTTATCCACCATCATTTTCCATCTCTTTTCGTTACCAAACGCTCACCCACGTTGACCAACGCGAGAGTGATAAGAAAAGACCCAATCACGCATCAACTCCTTCCACTTACGCGCGGCTGCTCGAACCGCGTGCGACCTCTTAATGCGTTCTGGCCGTGTTATATTGCCAACGCATGCACCCATGTTAGATGCATACATAGCAATTACAAAGCTAACATGAAAAATACATAAATAAATTCGTTTCAGTAAATAATAAGACGATATCAATAATAATAAAGCATTTAAGAACATGGACAGACGTTCAATTATATACATAATTTGTGCCTATCCTGAGTGGTCTTTAAGAAGGCAGTTAACATCAAATGCATAGAAATGTTTTGATATCATCAGTGTAAAGTAAAGTTTCATATTTTGATATTTATATGAAGACAGTTCTTTTAAAGAATTCTTTCGAAACGAGACATAAGTACAACAGTGCGATCATGCGATCGCGCCACGTTTCATAGATTATCGTTGCATAGACTATAGACAACTATAGACGGGGATGCCGTTTTTCATAACGTGGGTAACGGTAACATGACTTGAGAGGTAGAAGCGGAGTGGACAAATATTTTGTTTAGCGGTGTAGTACCATCAAAATAATATCGCGTAAAAAAGAACTTCCATTTTAGAACTTTGCATAGATTGGATGGATTCTGCCGATTCTGCATACTCTCGACCAATAACATTAAAACAACATCACCAACATTTATGAATATGATTTGTCGAAAAATTCGTCTGTTGTTAACAGTTGTAATTTTTTATTGATGAATTAACAACAAAATCTATATAAAACAGTTAATAAATATAATCAATGGTACATATAATCAATGGTAAATAGATAATGTTCATTGAACCCTATCGTTCACCAATTTAATTTGACGTGTTTGACGTTAAACCCAGTTAAATCGTAAGCCGTAAGCAGAAGAGTGCGCGTGTTAAATAATACACGAGATAATGACTGAAATAATAATTAAAATGGAATAAGAATATATTAGGAGCATTTCACGTATTCAGTATACGCGTATATTAATTAACTAAAAACGGAATATTATTGAAATGACGAATGTCTTACAGTGTTAAAGTGCCAAAAGCACTGTAGATAACTAAGTACATACATTAGTGTACATATACAGGTACACGTGTCAAAATAATTTTATTATTTTCAAAATTTCCTGAGACTAGGCGTATACACCGCAATACACTTATGTAAGATTTATATCTATTTTATTATATTTTAATAAATTTTTCCTATAATTTCTATATTTACACATGCCTTCCTTTCTCTTTCAGGATATCTATAGTTTTATCACTCAACATGTTGATTATATTATTTATTTGTAAAATACTATGTACATTGATTACTTTGCCCATTTTATTGGTAACATGGAGAAGGCTGTACTCGAAAAAGCGATCAGAAAGGTCCCGCAAGGAAATTGTTGTTGGCATCTTTCATCCATATTGTAATGCAGGAGGTGGTGGTGAAAGAGTACTTTGGGCTGCGGTTAGTGCCATACAAACTAGGTATATACAATTCATAGAGACTACTTAATTGGAAATATATATTTTTGTTTCTAAATTCTTCATATTACAGGTATCCAGATATACACATAATAATTTACACTGGAGATCTTGATGCTGATCCAGAACAAATTCTCAATAAAGTGGAAAAAGTATTTAATCTTAAAATTCAACATAAACTTGAGTTTGTATACTTGCATAAACGCAAATGGGTGGAAGCTTCAATGTATCCCTATTTTACCCTTTTGGGTCAAAGTTTAGGATCAGTTTATTTGGGCATTGAAGCTTTAAATAGCTTTGTACCAGGTATATATTGACTATGTGTATTATGTATATTAAATCCCTTTCAAATATATGCCTAAGATGTAATTTCAGATATTTACATTGATACTATGGGTTATGCATTTACATACCCATTATTTAGATATATTGGGGGATGTCGAGTAGCATCATACACTCATTATCCTACAATTTCAACCGATATGTTGAGGCATGTTTACAGAAGAGTTATTTCGCATAATAATAGACGAGTCATAGCTAGAAATCCATTTTTATCTGCAGCCAAAATTGTTTACTATAAATTGTTTGCATTTGTAAGTAAATTGAATCTGACAAGCACTCGCGCTTCATTATTATAATCAATGGCAACTGATTTAGATGTATGGTTTGGCTGGCAGTAGTGCAGAAATTATTATGGTGAATTCTTCATGGACTGAAGAACACATCAATGCCATTTGGAAGTGTCCATTGAAAACTCATAGGATTTATCCACCATGCGATGTGAAGCACTTGACAGAATTACCACTTCTTAGTGATGAAGAGAAGAGCAATAACATTCGTATAGTGTCAGTTGCACAATTCAGACCAGAAAAGAATCATCCATTAATGTTAAGAGGAATGTATGAACTTAGGTCAATCATTGAAGAAAAAGTTTGGGACAAGGCAAGTTTGATGAAAATTTCATTAAACACTATGAATGATCATAAAAAATGTTACATTAAATATTATTTGATCTTTCTAGATTCGTCTAATTCTCATCGGTTCTTGTCGAGATGCGAATGATGAAATGCGTGTTAAAGACATGCAGGATTTATCTAAACACTTTGCATTAGACGAAAACGTGGAATTTAAACTGAATATACCATATTCCGAGCTTATATCAGAACTTCAACAGGCAACAATAGGATTGCATACTATGTGGAATGAACATTTTGGTATCAGTGTAGTTGAATGCATGGCAGCAGGATTAATTGTTGTGGCTCATGCTTCTGGGGGTCCAAGGTAAAATGTTATCAAAAAACCATGTAATGAATGAAATAGAATTAAAGTGTCCTTAATTTGTTTACTAATTGTAGAGCTGATATAATAGAAATGCAACCAGGATCGCAAAATGGTTTTTTGGCTGAAGAAGCAGAAGAGTATGCAAGAATAATTTTACATATTATTAATATGCGTCCAGAAGACAGAAATACTATTAAAATGGCTGCTAGGTATTATCTATTTTGTATTGAAAATATACACTTTTACATAAACATTACCAAGCAAAAATAATTCTTTTCAGAGCATCCGTAAGCCGATTTTCAGACGAAGTATTTGAAAGAGAATTCTTACGAACTATAGAACCATTTTTCAGACAAAAACAGGAATGATTGATTTTTACATAAAATTCACTTTACGTTATCAGTTTAAGAATAAAAATAAATTTTTTTAAAATACATAGTTTCTGCATTATATTATGAAACCATGGTAACTTATTAGTGGAAAATATTTGTTTAAGTGTTATACAATAAAAAAAAGTGATATAGACACACAAAAATTGTTAATTGTTCAATGTTAAGACAATCACACGAATATATTTAGATAACTTTAAGCAAATATTTATTCCTTGAAAAAGAGTAGAAATAAAAAAAGTACATTATACTTATAATACTATATGTGTATTATGCATTTTATATTTAAAGAGTACTAATTAGTAATTACATTATAGAATGTACAATTGTCATTTATCTCATAACTTTGTTTTCGTAATTACAGCCATCACACTCTAAAATATATGAAATATTATCTCCAACTTCTTTTTCACTCAATTTAAAGTGAAGGTTATAATCTTTTAACATCATCTCTGCCACCTTTATAGCAGTCTCAGTGTGACAACTCAGTTTTTGTGATCCAAGTTTAATCTTAGAAGTACCTTTTGCCAAAGCCATCAAAATTATTAACTGAAATACACAGATATTATAAAATGAAATAATATGTTTAAAGAACTGTCAATGGTGATTATTTTGTAACAATAAAGTACCTGATCTTGTGCATGTTCATCAACACAAGATCCTGTTAAAATTGCATCTAAGATTTCATTAGCGGCCTGTACACCTGGTGCTATTTGTTCCTGACGACCCAAACCCAAGGCAGAACCACCAAAAATACATCCACTAGTGGAAGTGCACACTACACTAATGCCAATTATGTCCAGTTGTTAAATGCAATATGTACAGTTACTTTTATTTATAACATTCTAATATCTCACTTGATGCCAGATCCATTTCCAACAGCTACAGATTGGTCCTCCTTATAGGTGTATATATTTACTGGTGGAACATGAATATTATGTTTATGAAAACCTTCTATTAAAATTGACCTTGCATCTTCTGCCATTTTATGTGCTTCCTACCACAAATTATTATTTAAAACAAATTTAATACTTGTCAAATTGTCATCATAATTCTATTACAGAATAATAAAACACATACCTTGATAGGCACAACACCCGCAACATAAGCCCATCCTAATACCTCATTAGGTACTCCAGGATCGACTAATGTAATAGCATTCAATACATGTACAGGTTTTATGTACAAATGTATTTCTCCACCTCCCTTTGGGTAGTACCCCCTCCATTGATCATTAAAAAATTAATACTCTCTACAGAATATACTCTAACCCTTATGTTAAATATTATCCGAAACAATATTGTTTATAGGATTATAAATATATACATGTATATATGAATACCTTCTTACAACTTTGAAATCAAAATCAGCTCCAAATTTGTTAAGTAATGGTCGTAACACTTCTGTAAGGTATTCTATGTGTGGCCCCATAGGAACATTTGTGCCACCTTTAAGAATTAATGTAACAGCATTTCTTTGTGGGAAAAGAAGAGCACAGGGCAATGCTATCTGAGCTGACAAGCAAATGCAACCAGCAGTTCCTATATCTGCAACAAATGTATGCCTCCCATCTGCTTTCAACTGATTAGGTTTAAATTCTATACATGTTGATCCTTTATATGCTCCTCCAACTTTTGCATTGCACATACTTTTTAATAATTCTACTCCTATAATAATATTTTATTACAAATCAATTCACTGTAACTTGTAAGTATTGTACCTTTTAAATGTTGTGCAGCAAGTCCAGGTTTAGATCGTCCAGCTCGTATATTATCAATTCTTACTGGAATTTTGTATAATGCACTTAAACAAAGTGCTATCCTTAGCACTTGGCCACCCTTTATGAGAAAATAAACATAAACTAGTGTATATGCATTTCGTTCACAGTTATTAACTTTGTAACCTAACAAAAGGAATGTCTGTTTCAGGCAAAAAACAGTTTCTATATTAATATATATGTAAGTACATAGATACTTACACCCTCGCCTAAGCTACCATCAATTTGTACCAGAGACGTCATAGTATGAGTGGTATAAGCAAATAAACAAGAACAAACACGTAATAGTATCTTATGCAAATGTCTCTGACAGTTCAAAGCCACTTTTTTCAAAGTTTTTGAATGAAACTGAAAGGAGCTCCCTTCAAGAAGACTCTCCTAATACTAGTAGACTACTTACTACTACCAGAGTACTACCACTACCTACGTTCACGAGGCACGTAGGATCATCCTACTAGGATGTCAATACGTATATGTACATATCATACATATGTACATATGTACATATATAGCTTCATGAATGTTTATCTTATCCTATAAACGTATATATAGCTGTATGTAGTTAAATTAGTAAAAACATTATTTTATATAAACATTATATAAAAAAATAGAATGTTGCTATTGATATAACTACGGACATAGAAAGTCCTGAATTAATTAATTCAAAGAGAAACAAAAGAAAGCAAAGTAAAAGTGAAATTTACAATGCACGTTTTTTCACTTTTATTATGAATAAATTTGTTAATATCACGAATTTAATGTCCATATTTGAAATAGTACTATTTCACATCATATGCGAATAAAACGCGACATCCCGACCATTTATTAAGTACAATATGGCATGATTTGTATTATATTTTTTTAATAAACTTTTTGTTTTATTGTACAGTATTAGAAAATTTAAATAAAATTAACTATTCTTTGTGCAGATGTATTTTAACAGTTTCTTAGTTTTACATTGTCCTATGGAAATAATAATTTCCAACGAATAAGAATATCCAAATTGTACAATACAATTACATTTTTTTATACCCTTTCACAATAACATGAATAATAATATTCTACATTCATTACTAGTTTCTCAAATGTTTCTATTATAGCTTTAAAGAGAAATAAAATGTAGAAACAAATTATTATGGTGTATATCACGTGTGAATTTTTTAATGATTATACTCAAAGTCAAATGGTCCTTAAGACATGTAACATTGTTGTTTTCTTAAACATCTTGTTGTTTGGGCACTTCAATATAATTCCTTTTATACAAAATAAAATTAATTTGTAAGAAAAATAATTAAATCTGTATTCTTTGTTACATTGAAATTTATATTTTTTTGTACTTTGTTTTGATCTCTTATTATGAAAATGATGTATCAAAAGTAATTTTGGAAAAATATGCAGAATCACAGGTAGGTAATACTGGTTAGTGAGTGCTAGTGAGAAAAATTTGAGAATTACTGTTCTTTTAAAATTTACTTGCACATTTTTTGATTTTAAATACACTTCTGAATAGTAGTCTGAAGTGCCAGTATTACACTAAGATATGTAATTTCAATTATTTTTTTCTTTTTGTTCTACTACTTTATTTCTTAAAAATGTATCAATAAAATGAGATGAAAATTTAAAGCATAGATACACCTTATGACTAGCGTAAACTGGCTAAGAATGCAGAAATATATTAACAACTGAGCTGTTCTCTTTCAAGGTAATTATCCCTTCAAAGTAACAAGCAATAACTATACTTTTATGTGTAGTTTAAAAATTAGGCGCAATGTATAGAATAAGACTTAATGCCTTCATGTTTTTACAATCAATCTTTTTTGTATCAATACTTTACAATTAGGAAGTATTTATTCAACATAAATTATGTATAGTAAATTCGGAGTATTTTTGTTTCGTTTTTTCTGTGTTGTACGATAACACTATGAGATTGCCGCATATTTTAACATATGAGAAAGACAATAAATTGTTGCAGATACATTTTAAATTCTCAAATGCTCGAGACAATTTCACTACCTTTTAATAATAATTGCCACTGTTGAAAACTACCTTAGTAAAAAATTCTATCACAAATTGTGGCTTTAAAATGTTATTCTTATCTCTAATTATATGTAATACTATATACCTTAAATTAGTTTTACACGTATTTATACTTTCACAGCTGACAATTTTTGCCTTTTTTCAAACAGTTTGTCTGAAGCATTTAAGATTATATCATTAACCCCTTGCGCTCTTAATTGTATTTATCAAGAACATACACGTAGCATATTTTCTCATAATTTTCCACTAATTCTTTACAAATACTGCTTAAATTTAAATCAGCTTTGGTTTAATTCAAAAGCCGCCTAGAGGCAACAACCATCTTTTGGTTTCATATATTCTTTAGACGTTAATTATGCACACCCATCTAATTCAGAAATGAATTTTGTATGCAAAGGTTTAAAAACTTCAGAGAAAATAGTTCATGGAGAATATATAGCGAAAAGGGCAAAACACAATTGGAGTGCAAAAGGTTAAAGTAGTTTAAATTATTTAATATAAATGCACTGTTGCATCCATCATTCGATTGATATACCGTAAAAACATCTGATAGAAGACTACTCTATTTACATTCATTCATAGTTCTTTCTTAAACAATACATAATTTAAATACAGTCTTACGACAAAACATCAAACAGTGATTTTATTTTTAGTAAATTTTAAGAGTTAAGATTTATTGAACATTTTGATCATCCTAATTAAAGTTAACATTTTAATTTACTTTTAAATAATTTGTTAACCTTTTCGTTATACTCGCGTATAATTGATTTTCTCGCGTTTCTAACACATTCCGCAAACGTACGTGTATACGTATAATATAGCAATGTTTTATCCATAATGTACGGATTACAATGGACATTGTATCACATTAACTTCGATATTACTAAAATACGATTTGCTGTTTCGATTCTCATTCAATTCATTTGCACAACACTCTTGTGTTTATACAGGTATGAAATATTAATTTTAGAACGGAAATTCTCGTCTTTCCTTATAAAATGTATAGTACAATTTAAAAAAAAAAAGATTTGCTTTAATGCAACTAATATATCCAAAATCGATTCGATTTCCCAATTTCGAATACTGCAGTGAAATATGAACTTACACTTGATTCAAGTTTTCAATATATGATACAAAGGAGATATCTGACAGTTCGCCGTACGACGTAAATACATCAGTATTTGTACTCTCCATTTAAATTTCTAACTTCAAATTAAAATTACACTTCCTTTATTGCTCGGTTGACGGATTAACACTGAACATCTGAACCAGCGCCTAAAAGATAACACCATATAAGTTCTAATATATTCCTTTGTTTTTTAATTGTATTTACAACAGTAAGTCACTCACTTTAAGGCCTCGATACTGCCGCTTAACGTCTCTTGTTCCCATGAAGTCGACCGAATTTACGATTTTTTCTGTAAACACAGAAGAAACACCTAATATCCCACAGGTTTCCCAAATTTTACTTAATATCCCAGAACAAATACTTGTGCATAAATAAGTACATTATATTACAAAAATATACCTAATTTTACTCGGTGAAGGAACTGGAGCGTGTTCGGCGATAACAGGTAATACAGAAGTGAATTTATCAGTTGGACGTAAAAGGCGCGCCGTACGAGAGGACAATCTCCATATCAGTCTTTGTTTGTGAGGAGTTTGCTCTTGAGCATTGTATTTGCTCAATACAGCACCTACAGCCTCATGTGTAGAAAAAAAACTTGTGTCTGAAATCTACAAGAAAGCATTATAAATAAACGCTACTGTATATACAAACTTAGGAGAAACATTGATTCGCAACTAAATCTTGTTAACACTAACCTTAAATATCTTCTGAAGTTCTAAAGCGAATTCTAAAAGTTTAAGCATCTGATGTTTTGGTGTTACAGATGTACAGATGGTAGAGGAACTAGGTATAGCGGTTGTAGATACAGTAGTATCTGGATTAGTATCCAGGCGATTAACTGCGCTATCTAAGTATGTGAAAAGTAAAACAAGCGCTACCTCGGATGGCCTTAAACTTGCACAATTACCATCACAAGCAACCATCTCTAACCTGAGAAGAAGCTCAGATTCCTGGAATATCACATATGATGAATTAAAATTTCTCTTAATTTACACTTCAGTTAACAAGTTTCGGTCAGTCAGAGTTATTTCTGTAATAGTGTTTGAGAGATTAAATCCAATTTATCCATTTTATACATAAATCGTAGCATTTCATATGTATCGAATTTCAGGATATATGTAGAACATCGTAACATAAATAACATGCTTCCCAAATTTGTCTTTAAAATGCTTTTATCTTTAAGTTACCATTTAGTTGCACTGACTAACCAAAATTTGAGTATAATACTATATATATTGTATCTTACCGTAACAATATTATTATATATATCTCCCACACCTAACTGTGATGCAAGTGCATGGAACATGGCATTGAGTAATCGAAGAAAAGTCAAGGATGTAGTGGGTTGAGTACCAGGCACCCATTCTAATTTGTTCCGTATTACTTCCGACATACGCTTAAGATCACCACCTGTGCACTTGCACTGGGAAATAGAGACTAAGTGTTCAGCATCCAGGGACTGTGATAATTGAACAGCAGCTATATGGAAAGCAGATACACTGATGCAATCCATATGTTTTGGTCTTGCTTTCATTTTTGTTAAGAAGCGGTCCATTAAATTGATGGCAATAAAAAACACATCTGATGGTAAGTCGTACCATACTTTCAAACATCTCAAAACATGGGCTGATCCATCACGAGCTCCAATTGTTATCTCATCATTCTGAAAGACAGCAGGATAGATTATACAGAAGAAATGTATATATCTATGTATTGTTTCTAATGCATAGTAAATTCAAAAATATAAAAATATAAATTTAAAATACCAAATTCTCTATACTGTATAATATGCATCATTCCTACACTTACTTGCGATATACTGGGTAACTGAAGGTTAGGTTGATATTTTACTTCAAGGACTAAAGCTTCCTGCAGTTGTTCGAGTAATGGGTAGACTGCATCCGGTAAAGGCAAGCCCGATGTGTCCATTCCTGAAGTGTGTGACCAACAGCTAACTACAGCAACAATTAAATAATAATGTTACACAGAAGAGGTGTAGTGTGGCTGATGATATGGCTGTCACACAACAAGAATGACGCAGCTGGCTAGCCTTGTATCTGTAAAAATAACATAATATTGGAATTAAAGTAATCATACAAAACATCTCATCTTAATTGTTATCATAATTAATAACTAAGCTTGAAACATAAGATATGAAGTTATTTAAATTATGATAAAACGTGATTGAATATATTGAGTAAATATTGTAAATGGTGTGATAATTGGAATGACAAGATGAAAGAAAGTTAATATATGACACACTAAATTATTAATATAAATATAAAACATAAAACAATTATGTCACATAACAAAACACTATCAATTACTATTTAAATATTCAAACGTACAAATGTGTTTAAAAAACTATTCAAATAATCTGTTCTCCACTTTGATGTTTCTTCACTGATCCGTGAGTACGTGTTTGCATCCACGCGCCGACAAACAGACTAATTGAAAGTTTCGAAGAATGTACTAGAAAACTGATTCATTCGAAATAACTACGAGAAATCTCTGTCTTGTGTTTTTCCCTCGTATTGTTTTTAGATAGTACATTAACACAGAAGATACTATTGTAACAAAATTCTATTGAAGGTTCTATCATAACGTATTTAAAAAGAGTTATAACAGAAGAATGTAAACGTGTAACCACTTTTAATATTTTGATTGTTCACGAGTTATTTCATTAGATCGAAATGTCTGAATCATCGTATACAATTAAAGAATTTAAGGCTTCATTTGTGATGTAATATGGTGGTTTAAAGGTACTCGCATAAAAATTCATGCTGTAACCACTTGTACCTTGATTCTGTGTTAAGTGGGTATATGTATTATTTAAGGTTATCGAAAGTCGTGATGAATTATGGAAATATTTAAAACATGAAAAAAGATTAGTAAATAATATTTGAAACAAAATGTACTCTGGGGAAATCCGCCAAAATTTTAGTAAAATACGAATTGTTAATATGAACGAATATGTACAAGAATTATTAATTTAAATGAATGTTTGCTGCAGAAAACGTTACAACAATACATTTTCGTTCAACAACCTTCGAAAACACCTTCATGTACAAAAAAAGGGGGAGAAAATGGTTGGCATTGAACTGCAACACGACGACGAGTCTGCTGCAACCTTAAGTTGTACGGACATATACCTATTCGGAAGATTCACTGTAATTAACTTCAAATACTTGTATCAGTTTATGACACCACAGTGAAATCATATTAATAAATTTATACATTTATATTGCACCAAATAAAATTTTATATCTCGCGAACAAAAATTCTATAAAATAGCTGGTATAAAAATTTGAATGGTTATTGTTTGAAACTTAAATTTCTGTACGATTATTGCTTTTTAATTTTCTAAATTATATCGTTCTATATATAATGTTTTTTTACATGCATGCTAATATACCCTATTTATTGACAAATAATATTATAAATTTGTGAAAAACTATCAAACTAACATCTACAAGTAGAGCAATAAAAATAAATAAGAAAATGCATATATTTTAAACAACAGTTTACTTTGTGAAAATTAAAAAATAAATCTTACACGATTTAACAGCCTTCTCTCAAATTCTAAAAGGCAGTATGTAATGAATAATAAAAGAATTAACAAAATTTAAGAAGCAGTAAACACAAGGAACGTTTATATATATTTCGAATGGTATTGATTATAGTTGGCGGGAAGTATTTATAATTTATTATGTCTAATAATGAGCTCGTATACGTACGATTTGTTTGTAAGAACACGTTATCGTAAGATCACTGAACTATCAAAAAACTATATACACTTCTTTTTTAGTTTCTTTACGTAAGAGCAAAAAGCTCCCACGAGGAGCAAAAGTACGCTCTTTGAGCGCGTACTCGACGATACTGTTGCTCACATCCTTACATCTGCTTTGTAAATCGTCACGGATGAACAATACCCGAACTGCTACGACAACGTACGAACTCTAACGAACGTTACTCTGAAACGATCTACGAAGCTAACGTATAAAACTTTTGTTATAACAAACACTTTATTTAAACAAAGCACATTCTTTTGCGGGTAGTGAATATTTATTTTGATGTGTTTATTTGTAATTTATATTTCAGTAATTCTTTGAAATTTTGTATACAGCCTATACTACTTTCAGAAATATATTCTTTAAAAAAGAAATGACCGTATTTCAAAACTCGTGTTATTATTATAAAATTTCGTCAATTCCGCTATGTTGACGTTCTGTATCACCTTTTACAAATAGTTACAGTTTTTACTGATATCCTCTCAGAAAAAATTAAAATACCTTAAAAGATTTTGTACTTATAGGACAGGCTGAATTTTTATACGATGTATTTACCAAGAAATGACTTGTAAAGGTTCTTGAATTCCCGCACTGAATGAACTTCGAAACGAACTCTGGTTTGTTTATTTTCATCAATGTTTCGTATTGTTTTACCTTAGTCATCAATGATAAGGCATAACACTTATATATATATATATATAAAATAAACATTTACCTCAACCAAAATTGTCTCGTTAAGTTATCTTTCATTTTGTACATTATTATTATTAATGAAGAAAAAACTTTTGCAAGATTCACAGTGATTTGCCATTACATATAAAACTCAATAGTAAAATATTTAAAAACTATTAAATATGCTGCAGTATTATAGATAGAAATAAAAAAAGTGTTTATGTACTTTAAATTTGTCAGAGAGAAGAGAATTTTATTCCAAGATATGATATTTTGTCAAGTATGCAACAATTGATAATCTATTTACTCTACCATTCCAGTTTTACCACCATTTTGTCTTAGCTGAGCATTCGAGCTTATTTAATGACAATATATCGTAAAGTGATAAACATCCAAAGAGAAACTCACCCGGATGCGTCCGAAACGCTTTCACGTGAATAGATCACCCAATCTTGGCTTTTTTTATCGTATTCGTCGGTATAGAGAGGAAACAGAACCGCAGACGAACTACTGGGTTTGACAGTTGTTCTAACAATAAGAAATGGCGGAGCTACGTGCGTTCAGCTGATCATTACGCGTCAACGCACGCTCATGCGTAATAAAAATAGTTCCCTTACAAATGTATATTAACATTTACTTTTCCAAGAAAATATCAACTTATCGCTATTATAAATTATTCCTATCGGCTCAAAGATAAATTCCTCTATACTATATGAAATTAAACATTATCATTTTTAATTTAACATTAATTAAACGCTGTTTGATAACCTTGAGATTTAACGGAGGAAATAGGTAGTGATATCAATACGCGAATTATAGTTTTCAGTTGTATTAAAAATTAACTTGGAATATATTCTATTCAAGGATGTTTTAATGATAATACGAATACAAGCATAAACGTAAATATAATAATAGCTATAGTAATAATTTTATTGATTTTGGCTCTGTATTTTTGCAAGATATTTTTGTATGAATAATTAAGATTTGTTAATGCTAAATGTAAAATGAGCTGATATAGTAATACTAGAAGTAAATATTAGGTGCTTTCTCCGGTCAAGGTCGAATTTTCACACGAATTTCGTTGATACCGTTAAAATCGTTTAAATATAGTTCATGAGCTAACTTCAGTCGATTATATAGGACATGTAAATTATGACAAGAGTTCATTGGCCAACTCTACTTGTAGAAACTGATACAAAAATTATAATGCTTCCATACGTTACACACATTTGTTGTAATATTACTGCTTTCATACATTTAATTTTCTAAAAAAATTATACTTATAATAACTACCATTAGACATAAGTATGTATCAGCAAAAGTATACTTTGCTGATTTTATATTAAATTCGTTTCAATTATGTTAGGAGAAATATCACATTTTGTATTGTAAAAGTACGTTCCTTCATACTAAACTACATAAATAATACACACAACTTTCTCAAATTCTTCTATATTAAATGCAAAATCTTATGTATAAGATTATGTAATTTGGCAATAATGTTCTTAATAAAACATATATCTTATCTGTCTTTGTCATTACACAAATGTTGATCTGATTTCAATTTTTCTACCCGTTGTTTTTCTAGTACCTTTACAGCAGATTCTAATGTAAATAAATGTTCGTCGTATACATTTGGTGCTATTATTCGCATTGCAGAGGCTAATTTATACAGATACTCTGTATTAGCCCCACTAGGACCATGAGACACAAGTATCTGTTTTGCTATTGTAGATTCATCTTCTACACCTGCATAATTTGGATTATCTTCTCCACCTATGTAAATTGTAATATAAAACGGTGTATTATCTGGATTTGTTGGTATCAGCTTTGCACTTTCAAGGTTGCCTTGAGAATCAGTATTTGCTAAGGTATGAGGTCCAATGTTCTCTATCATATATGATGGATAAAAAAGAATACGTTTTCTTTCATAACCACCTTTTTCTCTGTAATCTAAGTGTTTGACAACATTATCTATATCTTGAGATGATATTTTATATGCAACACCCCATACTTCATCATTGGTATTATCAGAAGAAAGTAACGTGACAACACGACCAGGCTAAAAATAAATTTACATTTAATTAAATTAATATATAGGAATTGCAAAAGAAGTAACAAAACATAAATTATAGTAAAACAATAAAGAGGCATAGAGTGTATAAATAAAATTGTTTTAATATAACAACTTATTTAAAAAAAATTTTTACCGAAATTTAATATCAAAATAATTATATAAATACTTACTTTACTGGGTACACCTCTATGGTCTGTACTTTTTTGATAAAATCTCCTGATGTATCCTTTAATGTGTCCAACCAAAATCTTTTCATACGGAAAATCCGCTTTCCATATTAGTGAACCATAACCAAATACCCACATTATAATTATTCTCATTAAACAATAATTAACTTAATGACTCATCTGATTTCTTATCAGAAACGATGTTTATCAATACATAGGTGCAAGCATTAAGAAAGACATTGCGCTATCCCTATTTATATATAGAAGTATGTGTTTTCTCGTATGACAACTCACACTCTTTATCACTCTTTATTAACAATTTGGAGAAGATACTGATTATTACATATATTTATACATATAAGGAACAGAATAATATTTAGAATTATAATTTTTAATATATAATAATTTCGGAAAAACTTATAATTTTTGAATAGATATACTAAACGTCTTCTGTTGTTGTAATTTTACGTAAAGCAATTTTGAACCATGTTTATGTTTTGCACGTGCACTTATATGTTAGTAGGTGACCATGTGGATAAATTGGTAGTCAACAATGTAGTGTCATCTGTAATATGAAACTTTTGATAGTTTATTATTACAATAACTTATGTATTAAACTGTATTAATACATATTGTAGTTAATTTAAATCTTAAAATGATTTCGAAGCTCCTATGTACCGATGTGCTTGCTATTCGTTGCGTACATGACTTAATTTTTGTAGGTTAGTTTAGCATGTATGAACATTATTAGTGATTATGAAACTTTAATTGTATAACATTAAAAATCGACTCAGATCCCAATCAATCCTTATTATCCCTTGAAATTTTCATTTTAATTTTCATATTATTTCTTGTTTCTCCCTACAGGTATAGGATGCACATTGCACATTTTTAACATTGATACCTTTACGTTAGAAAAAAGAATAGATTGTCTTTATCCGTATAAGATACATGGAATCATTGAAGGTCCTAATAATAAGTTAGCTGTGTTTGGTGCTAATTCATTCTGTACCTACGTTGTATACAAAAAAGAAGGAACAATAGTGTAAGTATATTAAATATTATATGTATAATATAATTATTACTTCATTAAAGTATTTATTTTAGGATCAATGAGAATATGAATCAAAAGTGCCTTACGGATTGGATAATAGCATTGAAATGGTTTACATTTCGTGGACATGATCATTTAGCTATATTATTAGCTCATAATAATGTATATGTGTATGATACATTTAATAAACACTATCAAGAAACATGGTGTAAAGAGAAATGTATTCTGTATCCTTATTCAAACATATTTGAGCAACAATTTCATTGCATAAACTTAACTATATTTGGTATAGATATGCTGGTTCTATATTAGTGAAAGGTAACAAGGACTTGATAGTTTTTAGTGGGACAGTCTTTCAAGAAATATTAATTTGGGAAGTGAATCATGATCTATCTTCTATAGAAACTATATCAGTTATACATCGATTACAGGGGCATAATGTTAGTATTTTAATTCTTAGGAGTTACAGCTCTTCCACATTTTAGTGCATTTGATTTCAAGAAACTGAACGTATTGAATTTTTTCCAGGGTGTAATCTTTTCAGTGATGTATGATCCATTTACAAAATTAATTTGCTCCACATCTGATGACAGAACGGTCAGATTGTGGAATGTATATTGCAGTGTAAACGAAGATGAAGGTGATATAGATTGGAAACAAGCAAAAATAAAATTAACATGGACAATGTTTGGTCATACAGCTAGAGTATGGAGATCTGTTATTAGAAATGAAACTTTAATTACAATAGGAGAAGTAGGTAATACAATATATAAAATGTTATTAACAGTATAATTTATTTTAATATTTGTAATTTAAGGATTCTCTTATGTGCACTTGGTCATTGGATAGTAAATTACTCAACAAAATTTGTGCTCACCATGGAGCTGCTGTATGGAGCATTGATGTATCAAATGATAATAAATATGTTATTACTGGAGGAGCTGATGGCGCAGTTCATGCATGGTCTCTTGTTAATAATTACATGCAGAAGAATGTACAGTTACCTACAGATTCTTTGTGTACCTCGCCAAAATATGTTTGTTGCTTAAATAATGGCAATGTTTTGATTTTCAATGAAAATGGAACTCTCTGTGTTATGAATAAATTGCACTCTGATCCAATAGAATCATTGTATCTAGAGAGATATAGTACATACTGTGTTATGGAAGTGTCTTTCTGTCATTCTTACATTTGTTTTGGGTCAAGAGATGGATATATAGCAATATACAAAGGTAGAGAGAGTGATTTGAGAATATTAAGTATTGTTAAGGATACTTTCATTATTCAATTACTTATACAATATACTTTTAGTGACCGACAATGCAAATGATAAAAAGTTGCAGCAACTTTTTGAAAAAAAGATAATGGACTCTCAGATATTTTCTATTCAATGGCTGCAAAATGACAAAGTGATAGCATGTGGATCAAGGGGAATGTTAAAAATATTCAGTTTCAGTGTGAAAGGTATGTGAAAAAGCGTGATGCAGGTATGTTGCAAAATGAACTATTATTTTTCACTTTGTTACTTTTTTCATACAGGAGCAATATCTATAGAGTCAGTATGTCTATTACCACCAAGTCGAGAACGTTGGCTGACAGCAGCAGTACTTTATGAAGGATTATTAATATGTGGCGATAGAGCTGGAAACATGCATGTTTTCAAAATTGAAAAATCTATCCTACGTGAACATATCAATACAACTGAAACAGACAATAAGCCTGTTCAAACTTTTACAAAAGTTCATGGCAAAATTGGTATTCAGAATTTTACAGTCTTAGATTCAAAATTAATATCAGCAGGTCGTGACGGAATGTTAAATTTTTATAAATTACACGAGCATGAAAATAAAAAATTGTTACAAACTTTGCATAAAGAAAAAATACCAATAGATTGGATTAGTGGAAGTTTAAAAATTTCAAATGACATCCTAATATTAGGTTTTAAGGAGGTAAATAAGTATTTTAAAATATACTTTACTAAACTAATATGGTTTATTTCATCTTGCTATTATTTCTAGGTGGAATTTTTTATTTATAGTATGTTTAATCATAGAACAATAACAAGAATTCCTTGTGGTGGTGGACACAGATCATGGGATTGTATGCTAATGGGTGAATTAATCACATTCCTCTATATTCGTAATAAACGAGTATATATGTTTAATTTTTCATTAAGTTCTATAAAATCGCCAGTTTTATTAGTAAGTAATTTATTCACAGCTTTCATATTGTTGAATGGAGTTTATAAAAGTTTATTTCTGCTGTACTTTTAAACTTCTAGAATGGTTTTCACACAAAAGAGGTACATTGTATCAATCCTATATTGAAAACCAATCAAGATAATATATTTTTATCTGGCGGTGAGGACGGCAGTCTTCGCATCACTACTGTATCAAATGCGTTGATAAAAAACAATTTTAGTTTTCGCACACTGGGTATTTTTAATGGTCACATTTCTAGTATAAAAGCGATAGCTTCCTTAAGCTTGCAATCTAATTTTTCACTCAATAAAAATCTTGTTTTTTCGGTGGGCGGAAGAGCTCAGATAAAAGTATGGGAAATCGATATAGAAAATAGTGAAAACATTCTAAAAGACACAGATATTTCTTGTTTTGATGTTACCTCCCACATGTTGCATGGATTTGATCAACTTCGTAAGAAACAGTGGCAGGAACCTAATCAATCATATATTGTTCTGCCTGATACTCGATATATGGATATTGCAATTTACCGTGACGCAAAACATTTGCATTATGTATTGCTTTTCGTTGCTTGCGCGGATGGATTCGTCAGGTAAATTTTTCATAGCCTAATTAATATTTTGGAATATAGTACATTGAATTCCCTATTTAAATATAATTTGCAGAACATTTTTATACAATGTCAACGCAAGACATATATCATTGAAAGTGCATACGAAGCTTGTTGACCGTTGTATAGCAAAAATTAATATCTTCACGTGTGAAGACAACATACTTGTATTAACGATGTCAACTGATGGAGTTGCCCGTTTTATTAATTTTACCGATACTGTTTCCACTATCTTGAAAAATATGCAAGGTGATGATCAAAAAATAAAAAATTGTTCTGATATACTTGCAAAATTCACTTTACATCAATCTGGAATTAATTCATATGACATAAAAAACATTAAGAAAGATGAATATCTATTAGCAACCGGTGGTGATGACAATTTATTTAATCTTATTCATTTTAAAATTTCTTTTTCTGAGGAGAAAAAAGTATTACAGGTTTTATTATTATCAAAGTGGAGTACTTCAACTGTACATTTTGCTCAAATTACAGGTGTGCCTAATTAGTATTTCTTAATAGCGCCTAAAAACATAATATAATTCTAACTTGTACTTTTTTAGGCATAAAGTTTCATGAAGAAAATACAATTTTCAGTGTAGGAGTGGATCAACGACTTAATGTCTATAATTATAATTTCAGCAATGACACGTTCTCTGTGAAAATTTTTGAAACGATGTTTACATTTGTGACAGATGTGAAAGGTTTAACTTTGTGGTATACTCCAAAGTGTGTATCCGATTTGCGGTATTACAACATTAAACTACTAAGAAATTATAAACTCACAAGTAAATGTACTGTTTTAGGGATGAATCAGCTATCTGTGTTTATGGCAATGGTTTCGAAGTCTTGCTCTCTTAATAATCTATAAATACAACAAATTTGTGAGGGCAGGTAACAGTGTTCGTTATAAAATGTAATAATTAAGTGACAAATATAGATACCTATTTATATTCTGTTTTCAAAATTTTTTTATCAAAACATTTAAATAATTCTCTGTTCTACCGTCAGATGGCGAATTTGTAAGGGAGAAATATTTTAAGATCAATGTTAAAACTGATTTTGTTATCTCGTTGCATTGGTTATATTTCTTAAAATACTTACTTTTGCAATTGTTAGTTTATAAAAATGACAACTATTACGATATCGGCCGTGCGGACTCGAACAAGCATTCTTGACAAGTCATTAAGCAAAGGGAAAGGAGAGGTTAGCCTAAGTTGTTTTACGCTTTTGTTTTCGGAACTTGTACAGTACTGTCAAAATCGAGTTTACACCGTGCCGGAATTACAAAACAAGTATGTAATTGCTATGAACAATGAAAATATTGTCGCATAAAGCAAACGTTTTTGTATACATTGTTCAGGTTGGCAGAAATAGGAGCAGAAGTTGGACACAGAATAACAGATCTTTTAGTTGTACGGGAGAAAGGTGGAAAACGCGAGATAAAGTTATTGAATATTCTGCTATTCATTAAAAGTACTGTATGGAAATCGTTATTTGGTCGCGAAGCTGATAAATTGGAACATGCAAATGACGATGAACGCACATACTATATCATAGAAAAGGAAGCATTAGTGAATAAATTCATATCTGTACCAAAAGATAAAGGAAGCTTGAACTGTGCTTCTTTTATTGCTGGAATAGTTGAAGCTATCCTTTGTGACAGTGGTTTTGTAAGTATGAATTCTTATTAACACAGTATCAGTGGTCGATTTCAATTAATTGTGAAAACTTCCATAAACGGCCAGTTATCTAAAAAATAGATGTCCTAGACTTAGGATGGTTTGTCTATAGTCAAATTTTCTTAAACATGGGTGCAACATATACTTTGTAAACTTTATTCAGAATGTTTGATAGTATACACAATTATAAATATATAATAATACTTTTGTAACATTTTTCCCTAAAATGGAAAATGGCACAGTTGGCACAGAAAATCAATGTCCGATAGTGTGTTAATATTGATACTTGGAAACTTTAATGATAAAATTTGAAATAATTTCCAATCAAGGCATCAAAAACATATAAATTCAAGAAATTTTTGTTTTTATATATGTAGCCAGCAAAAGTGACAGCCCATTGGCATAAAGGGACAACATATATGGTAAAATTTGATGATGCAGTTGTTGCCCGTGATAAACACTTAGAAGATCGATAAGCAAACTGAAAGGAGCAATGAACACATTTTGTTAGTATTATTTTGGTAATTTAGTCTCCTTTAAAGTATATTATACTTTTTATAATTCTATAGCTACACATTTCTCATGTAAAAATTTATAAAAATACCTTAAATACATGTATGTATTTAATTTCAGTTTAAAAAGTGTTGAATATAAAAAATAAAATTGTAAAATACTAATTACTTGTATAATTATATTTACTTTTATTTGTAAGATAAATGTAATATATTTTGATACATACATTCTACATTTACAAACACGCTATTCAAGTACAGATTCACTATTAATTAGGAAATGTGTAACATCTGTCAGCATAGCTTATATGTCCATTACGTAACAAGTTTTCGTGTTTACCCTGTAACAAAGTATCTCATTATTTCTTCAGTATATACATATGAAAATATTTTTAACAGTTTGAAAATTTACCTTCAATGTTTTTACGGTCCATGTAGCTAAGCATATGAATGCAAACACTCCACCCAAATTGAATAACATAGTTCTCCCAGTTATCTTCATCTGATATTGATGAGTGAGTCTCATAACACCATATCTATGTATCCCATGATCCAACTACATTACATAAAACTGTACATTGATTATAGAACATAAATGATATTGGGATTAAATGAATCGACAACGCATAACGGTCACTTTCATCTGCATTAGGATTTAAATAGAAAAATAACTACAGACTTCATATCTTACGTAATTTTAATTTTTAATAAAATGAATCAAAAAAAGTTTCGGCATATAACATTAAGAATTAATTAAATAGGAAACAATGGATTAAACGTGAACTTTGATAGCGTTTAATACGACTTTTTTGACATACATTTTTATATATCTCAGTCATAAAAGTGAGGTTAACTCTTCAAAGGATACTTACGATAAGTTGTTGTTTTATTGGATTATGAACTTGTTTCAAATAACTTTCACGTAATACTTTTCTCCTCGCAGCTCTCCATTCTATGACTTCTCTGGCCTTTGGAGAGAGATCATATAATTCTATTTTGTTCGATCCCATTTTTCTGTTAATTCACACACCGTAATCACCGTATACAAGAATCACAAGAATCATAGACATATATGCTATGACAAGAATCAATAAGACTCAACAAGAATCAAGTTATCCAAGTCAATCCAAAGACTGCTCCACGGCCTGTTAACTCCCATTAGAATAGTGTGGTCAGTCATAAGCTACCGGCCCTTATCACCAATGGTGCTAAAGTCGTATTTTTCGACACATGTACTTCTATGTAGTGCTATGTAGTCGGTGGATAAAACACGTTTTGGCGGTGGAGGGAGTTCAAGCCAGGTATGTATTTTTTCCACAAGAAAGGACGACTTCATTTTAAAGGCTAAGAATAAGTATTATGTTTTATTTTTATATAATTTACATGCAAATGTATTTTTCCCTTCAATATTACTTATTTTTTAGATGAAATGGTGCAAGAAGATGGCACATCTCTGACTGCAGAAAGCCAGTTTGAGGAACTGGGTAAGTTTGTTTATATTATAGAATAAATCAATTTTTATGAAACTTATGTGTGCACATACTTATAGTCATTTTCACTTATTTTTCAGATATAAAGCAGTCATTTGATGAATGTGGCGTGCATGATTGTGTGTGCAAGATGGCTAGGGACTATTATGTAAAAAAGTATAGAAGAATGTAGTATGCATGTATCGTATGTATTGTTTGTGTTATACAGTATACAGTCCCTTATTTCCTAAATTATTTGAAACACGAGAGTTTTCTGGTATTTCAAATACTTTAGGAAATAACTGACTGTATACTGTATGTATGTAATGTAAAATTTTTAGCATGACAGTGAGTGACTGGCGACTACTATGTGGGATTGTGTATGGTAAATTTTTTATTATAATAAATTTGTTATTAGTTCGAAATTTTAAATCTGTATTACATTTATTACATAGTCTCTCTATATCATGTTAAATTTTGAGCGTGACAGTGAGTGACTGGCGGTTACTGTATGGGATCGTGTGTGATAAATTTGTTATAATAAATATAATGTTAGTTGTTTGCAGTTTTAAACATGTTTATTAAATTGCGAACACCTAATATCAAATTTATTATAACTCAAATTTATTATACAGGATCTCATATAGTAGCCGCCAGTCATTCACTGTCTCGTCTATTATAAATCGTTCCGAAATTCAAACGCGTCCCGGATATCCGGTACTCGTTTTAGTACAGAGTCACATCACCAATGGCGCTGCAAATCGACCAAGAAAAACCTCTGAGTTGCACACCCGTGACAGAGGGTTTCCCAAAATAAGAGTTTGTCGTAACCACAGACGAAGAACAATGTATGTATGTAGATACATACTTACGTACAAATTTCGTCTGTGCTGTAATTTACAAATTCTGCTGATTCCTTTAGAAAAAATAATTTGTAAATGTTAGTACAATTTTTTTAGGGGTTATTTTAAAGAATATCAAATTTGAACTAAAATTGAAGAACTTATTCAAAATCAAGAGTATCATATAAAAACCATGCATAAAAAAAAGATTGAAAATAATTTCAGAACTACAGGACCTAATAAAACTTTATATGTAAATACACCAGAAAACATCGTTTCGACAATTGCAATCGAGTGCGTACCTTACACATTTTTAAAATTTAAGACAACTTTTCATACAAAATTTATTCTCATTTCGGTAGTACTCTCTATTTTTTCATCTTACATATTGTATAGCAGTATGTCACTCGTGTAATTAAGACAGAATTTTCAGATAATACATCCTCAGCGAGGTGTTATGTTTCGGACCGTTACGTCTGTAGTTAAGAATTTTTAATGACTAATTTTACCAACAATGATATATTTCCCATTTTTATATTTTTCAAACCATCAATCGTTTTAGAGTTTTGTGAATAATTCATATATATAACGCAATAATTGTAATTCAATTATGTTTGTACACATTAATTACAACTCTGAATAACCTAAAAGCAAACCGATTGATTCAAATATGTAGTAGCAATAAAATATATAATCACAATATTAGAACGCAATTTAAAGAATGCATAAGAATCGGTTACGATAAACCACATCGTGTGTATATGCGTATACGTATACGTGTCAAATGTGGGTTGCTAAACTTATCGAAATCACATGACAACTGCAACGGATAATCGTATACAAATCGAATTACACAAAGTACCAGGGGCAAATGTGTAGAATGCACATGATAGATAAAGGTTAAATTGTGGACGATATCCTACTCGGCCAGTGTTTCTCAATTTATAAGTTCTTTTAATCATTTCAATATTAATAAACTAAACGTATACGCAATATAATTCTGCCGATTTAACTAGTAAAAAGATTACTTACGTGACTTTATGTATTGAAATAGTTGTAATGACTTATGAAAACGAAAATACATGGAAGAATAAATATTTGTAATTAGTTTTGCCAAATTAACGGAGTTATATCTCACTCGTAAAATGAGATTGATGGGAAAGGTGTGATTATTACCACCCGATGATGTATAAGTTGTTGTGTAATTATTGTAAATACTGTAAAAGTAATTAATAAATAGGCTGTGGCACGAATAACGATCATATGTCCAAAGAAACTCATTGTCAGTTCTGTTTTAACACGGTTTTGAAATGACCCTTTCAAAAATTTCCATTTCAGCTTAATTAAAAAAAAAAAAAAATAAGTAATACATAATACTTATGATCTTTTCAAGAAAGTACCTGTCGTGTAAAAACAGAATTCAGAGTACACATTGACATCTGTTCATTATGAATATTTTAATAGATTAATAATATTATAGATAAGCAACGGAAAAGTTTTTGAATAAAATGACCCTGTTCAATAATAGTATTAATATTCATCTTACGTATTGTTTCGGAACTATTATATTTGATTATTATTAGATACTTTAGTGATGTATCCATAAATGTTGATAATTTTATCGTTTGCAAAACGATAATAACTGGTATATTTTTTATAGTACTACACATTCGTATTTTTGTCCGAGTTTCTTTGTAAGTTTCTACAACGACAGGTGATGACAGGAACGAAGTTGGGAGACGCTGTTGCATACAGTTGTCAGCAGCGATGAATCACGTAGTAGGAGGGGAGGGTATAGAATATAGGGAACAGCGCGTTCTCGACGACGAGTCTTGTTAGTTCTTCTCTCGTTAGAGAATTTCTCGTTAGTCCAAAGCAGTCCAAAGTGATACAAGATACATCGCGGACTTTACTTCATTTTTGAGGAGCCGTTCTTCCTAATTAGTCTTCGTACTTGGTAAGATGTCTGTAAAAATACTTCGCATTATTAACGACATTTGGCATGAATAATAATGTCAAAACATGTAAGCGGGTTACGTCTATTGTTTCGATTGCTTTTTCTCACTGATGTAATTTTGTAATGGTACCAATCATCATTATATTCATCCTGTTGCTTTGTCATAAATCTTGATAGCCTTCGAACCTGTTTGTGTTAGATGTATTATTCTAGACAATCTAGACGAAGTGTATATATGCCATCAAAATATGACAAAGAATCATGTTATTCTACGAAGCTTGCATAAATAGATATAAGAAGTTCGAATTATTCTCATTAGTCGTTAGTCAAAGCATAATTGAAAGTTTGAAGTTTATCAGAAATGAAGAAGGTCGACCTTTGTTTTTTGTACGTTCTGTTGTACAACAATTTCAGAAATTGTCGGTTGATATTTCTTTGTTGACAAACGTCACACCAGAACCTACTTACAGTAGTATTGACTAACGGCGTTATGATCTCTTTGTTCGCTGGTTCATGTGATATAAGGTCAAAATATTGATTCCAGTATTGTCTACGATAATATAATCTTTCGCGTATGTCGTCCATTTTTGTATGAAAATATTTTCAAGTAAATGAAACGATCGGTTGTTCCCTTTTTTGTAACGAAGTACTTGAAAGTGCTATTATCGCCATATTTACTTACATAATTCGAATAATATGTCTTACTATTTTATACGTATCATTATATTGTAATACATACTACGCATTAAGTGATAAATCGCGAAAATTCAACAAACTCTTATAAACTAATTTCGTATGAATGAAATTTATTACTGTCGGTCGTGCTTATCAACTGTTTCGTTTCGTTGTTTTTATGTAAAGACATTCTTCATATTTTTAACATAACACCAAATCTATTTTGTGTAAATTCAATGATGAATGCGAATATTGCATGCATTCACAATTACTTGGAAACTTTAATATAAATTTCGTATGTTTTAAACAATTTCATTTTTTTTACAATACAAAAATACAAAAGAATTATGAATGAACTAATATTATGAATTATCTAATTATATTAATGAACAAATATTATTTTTTTAAAGAAAGAAAATTTAGACAGATATATTAAAGAAAATATTTTTATGTACTTTTCCAGGAGAAATACAAAATCATGAAAGTTGTATTCTTTTTATTTGTGGCAATATGTGCCACAGCACAAGCTGTTTCTTTCTTTGAAGTGGTCAAGGAAGAATGGACAGCATTCAAGGTACATAAATCACTTGCATTTTGATAATGGTGTAAGGAAAATTAATAATAAGATTATTTTTAATGTTGCCGTTACTTCTTTATTATGCTTATCTCATGAAAACCAGTATAATAAGTTTTATGTTCTTAGATAAAATGGTTACCCTAAGCATGTAAATATTGTTATAGGTTCTCTTATGTATATCAAGATTCTCATTTATAAATTAAGATTTACATCTATCATTACATGTATGTACTTTTCGATTCAAATGAAGTACATATTATTAAACTAAACAATTAATTGTCTAGTTTCCATTTAATATTGGAGTTTAAGTAGCATTCATTAAATTTCTTGCTAATTATTTTCAGTCAGAACACTCCAAATTGTATAAATCCGATGTTGAAGAAAAGTTCAGAATGAAGATATTCATGGATAACAAACATAAAATTGCTAAACATAATACCAATTATGAACAGAAAAAAGTTTCTTATAAGTTAAAGATGAACAAGTATGGAGACCTGGTAAGCAATATTTATATAATTTATGCGTTTCTATGATATTTTTAACATTTCCTTATATGTTGTTTTTAGCTTCATCATGAATTTGTGAATTTATTAAATGGTTTTAACAAATCGAAAACTATAAACCATCCAAGCATTCTTGGAGCTGCATTTATTGAACCAGCAAATGTACAGTTACCAGAAGCTGTAGATTGGAGAGAATTTGGAGCTGTTACAGAGGTGAAGGATCAGGGTCATTGTGGTTCTTGTTGGGCATTTTCAGCAGTAAGTTCTTTTTACTAGTAATATCATTATGGCTGATAAATTTTCGTTAATGAATAAATCTTTTCTAATAATGAATTTCAATTATAGACCGGAGCTCTGGAAGCACAACACTTTAGGACAAAAGGAGTTCTGATTTCTTTAAGCGAACAAAATTTAATTGACTGCAGTGGAAAGTATGGTAACAATGGATGCCAAGGTGGAATATTAAATGCAGCATTCCAATATGTTAAAGAAAATAATGGTATTGATACAGAGATAAGTTATCCATATGAAGCGGAGAATGACAAATGCAGGTAACAATAATGCACAATCATATATTTATATAATGAAGACAAATTTTTAATAAGAAAACTGTATCATTGTTTACAATTTTGTTTATAGATTCAATCCGATGAACAAGGGTGCCTCTGATGTTGGATACGTGGAAATTCCTCAAGGAGACGAAGACAAACTCAAAGCAGCTGTTGCTACTATAGGACCGATTTCTATCGCTATTGATGCGTCGCGTACAACCTTCCAGTTTTATTCTGAAGGTTTGTTGATTTCTTATTGTAGATATTATTTTAATATTCATCTTTTCAAGAAATTTGTAATGTACATTCTGTTTTAATTATAGGAATATACTATGAACCTGAGTGCTCTTCAGAAGAATTGGATCACGCTGTATTAGTAGTAGGATATGGAACCGACGAAAATGAGCAAGATTACTGGTTGGTTAAGAACAGTTGGGGAACAACGTGGGGCGACCAAGGATACATAAAAATGTCTAGGAACAAAGACAATAATTGTGGCGTTGCTTCCTCTGCTGTTTATCCTCTTGTCGGGCCCCAAGGATAATTTTAATACTTTGTAAATAACTTCAAGGATAAAAAAGTCTCGATGAAGAGTACTTCAATAAGTGAAATATAATGATTTTCCATTTACTGGTGATAACGAATGTTTGTGTACATTATATTTAAGTTTATATTTGTATTTAAAAGAAACAAAAATATATTTTATAAATATACAAATTGGTTTTATTAATAATTATGTTCAATATCAATTTAATGAAAATTGTAAAGGTATAAATTACTGACAGTTACTATATTTTGAAAAGCAAAATGGATGCTGTTAGATTGGCGTGTGATGAAAGTCGTGAGCGGTCGAAATGTGGAACGTTACGACGCTAATATGTATTCGTTGTAAAATATAGTTTTGTAATAATTACAAATAATTTCGGACCAAACGATTGTAATTGTCCATGTCAGTATTGTGGAAGTTTTATTTCATTAACGAGAAATTCCACTACCTATTGTAAATATAACCTACAAATTTTTTACACTGCTGTGTATATATTATATATATGTATATACTTACATATGTACATATATGTAAGTATATACATTAATGTCATGCATTTAACAATTTAAGTAAGCGAGTATATTAAAATAATTTATAAAATAATTTAACTGTGAAGTATAACGCACGTGGCTATTTTGCTCAGTTATGTTAAATATTAGTGTTCAGTTCATGGATTTACTCAAAAATGTTGCACATAAACTTGAACACAATATTTTGATTTTTTATCAGCTACAGAATTTTATTTCTTATTTTAAAAATAATCTCTTGATATAATCTGTTGAATACGTTTATTCTAACTTTTCTGTATTTTTAAAGCAATATCAAATTTCATTGAGGAATATTAAACAGATATTAAAAAATCTGTTTATATGAGATTATTAATTTAAATTTCAACTTCTATCTAGTAAAACAGTTTTTGATTTTTTCTTGGTCATTTCCTTTCAGTGTATCAGAAACAATGGGAGAATTAAGTGTGTGTTTTCAAATAGACACAGACAATCGTGAAAATTTTCCATCCGCAGTTGCTTTTCGGTCTTTCAAAAATCAAAGAGATGCATTTTATGAAATATTTAGAATATGGGAAGAAAATCATTCTGTACCAGGATGGACATTTCAAATAGCTCTGGGAAGTAAAACACGAAGTATGCTAACTTTGCACAATGATGCTATAAACTATTATCATTTTGCAAGATTATTTAAATCACAACTTTTAATTTCTTGTATACATAAAAGGCAGCAGGTATGTGTAAATATTTATGTGGTATGTAAGTAGCAAATCATTTCTTCAGGTTAATGTATCTTTATTATTTCCAGTCAGAAGTAGACGATGATGAAAGTATAAGTTTTTTAAAAGCTTTAAAACATGTGAATCCAAAAAAGCTTAATCAGCTTCAAAAGCGTTTAGTAACTCCACAGCCTTCCACAAATCAAATCATGGAACCATCTTTTCCAGGAGTTCAAGAATTTTTCAAAGATTTTATATTATGTGCTTTCAATCCAATTTTTTATATCCACTTAGAAAATTGCTTGGTTCATGAAATAATGGAATTGAATGATACTCAATTTACTGGCAGTGAAATAGAAGATTCAGGTATTAATATATTTGAAATATTAGCATGAATTACAAATGTACCAATAATACATTAATATCATATTTGTAACAGAAACAATGGTCGATGAACAGGCACAAAAAAATTTTACTACCTGTTTATCCAGTTTACGACTTCTTGCAAAAATGTTAGGTCTTGTTGTTTCTATACCATATAGGTCGGAATCAAACAATTTTACAGAGTTAATAGCTACACAAGTAGAAGTAAGGAGTAAAGTGAGTAATACACTTGGTACACAGATAAGTTTAATAGAGTTGCGACATTATAAACATCTAAATCTACTATTATTGTTTTCTGTGCTTAGGTGTTACCAAAAGTAAATTTACTTCTTTGTCTTCATAATGCAATAGCATTAGGAAAGTTATCATTGACTGTACCCTGGATAGCAAAATACTTGGCTATGATGGATGCTGTATCTCTTCGATTACCATACTATAAACACATATTAGAGCTTCTGTATTACATTTACAGAGCTGTAAATAATTCTGATTTCAAGACTCTCGACAGTCCTATTTCTCGACAAACGGCAATTCTCTTAAAATCTACTTTAAGTTGGTTATTTGAATTACCAAATTTTCCAAAGGATTTATATCCAGCTTGGCAGAAGACATGCAAAGTCAAAGAATTGAAGAATCTTAAGCAGCTTGACAAACATTATATGCAAAAGAATGCCTTGTTAGGAGAATTAATAGTTCCGATTGCAACTACCAAATGTTATTTGGATAAACTAGATATTATTAATGAGAGAACTTTGCGTATATGTTGCCCTTCAGTTGGACAAACACCAGTAATAAATACTAATACGAATTCAAACAATTATAATTCGAATAAACACATTACTCCCGTTTCTAGTCAACTACTGAAATCTGTCAGAGGTGCAAGTATAAGGCATTTAGAGGTAAGCTTATTGATCGATCAGTGTCTCATAAACGCTACTACAGATGTTTTTCTCATGTCAACAGTGGCAACTAGAAGAAGCATTTTTTCATGGGCAGCCAGCATCAACTCGAAAGACCGTTGATTTTGTGTCAGAGAGAGTCGCTTCGACGTGCGTTAAGCATATATGTAATACTCTATTAATGTCCTCCAGAGAATCAAATTTGAACACTTTTAGGAAACTTTTAAAAAAAAAGCAGAGAGAAAGACAATCTGAAAAGTTGGAAGAACCATTTTCCAATGATATTATAGATTTTAAGGTAATTCTTTGTAGATTCTTGTTATTTTCCACGCTTAGTGTCTGTTATTTCTACTATAACAATGTATTTCATCTAAACCTAACAGGCATCAGTGGTGAATGAAATGAATACTTTAGCTACAAATGCGTCCAAGGAATTAAAGGATCAATGCGAATCATCTATACCAGCAATTTGCGAAGCGCGCGTAGTTAAATCTATAGAATCCCTTTTGGCAGAAGATTCTTTGGCAACCGTGAAAGAAATGTGCGTTAAAATTGCAACTAGATTGGCTACGGAACGTATACATCAATGGATACAAGCTCACATAGTAGGCGGTTCATTATTTATAAAAGACATGGAACTCGAATTAAACAGATTTTTGAAGAATAATTCACCGTTGCATACTGTTCAAGAAAAAAAGCATAATCCGAATGCTATTAGTCCAACTACCATTACAGATGACTTGAGGGTACGTATCCGTGTTTTCGATATACATTTCACTACGAAACACTACTGATGCAGCAGCTACCACCATACGACATTGGATCGAATTTTATTAGGCGATGTAGTTTTTGTACCACGGTACAACAATTGTGAACTAAAAGTGGTACACAAATTGTACCATCGTACCCGAATGAGTTACTACACATATGTATTTGTATAGATATAAATTTGTCTTACTTTACTGACATCTTTTTAGGAGTTAATGTGGGACATATTCGATAATACTGGAGTGAATTTAACGATGATGTCGGTCTCGACCGTATTAGATAACTTGTATCAAACTTTGAACGAAAGAGTCGATCTTCTAGCGGGCCCCGAGAAAGTTTTGTATCTTCTTAGCACGGATTTTGCATTGTTATTAGGTATAAACTTACTAATTTGTCATTATATCCGTAAAGATTATATCGGTAACACTGTACGTGTTTACAGCTGCTTATCGGAACGACCTCTTAACTGAAAAGATTCAAGATAAATTTATTAAGATATGGTCGATGAGTCGTTGGAAAGCTTTGGAATTGGACTCGCCTATATACAGAATATTTAGTCCTCGAAACATTATGCTATTAGCTCAACCAGAAGAAGATGACGTATGGCCATTTTTGGGGAAATTTGTTAAGAGATTAATAATAAAGGATATTCTAGACGTCGACAGTTTTAGCGATCAGTGTGTAGCTTTGTTCAGACAGGACTGGCCTGTGGTAAGTACTCTCTTTCATGCTATTCATTAAAGTTACTTATTGTAAGAATTGTTGTTTGCTCACGGAAACATCTATGTTCCTTATGTTGTTTGTAGCCTATATTAAAGCATTTATCAAAATGCTTATCAGAAGCTATAGCAGACTTCAGGGCATCGGACGAAGCTACGGAGAAAATAAAGTACCTACTTGGATGGATAGCAGAGACATATCATGAGATAGAATTTCCAAATGACTATAGTCCTATAGACTGATCTGCACCTAATCATTCTTATTTTTAGGTTCTTTTTTCGAGGATTAGCTTACTGTATAAATTACACAATTGTTATGATAGAAATGTAAATTGTTGTAAATTAATTAACTTAATGACGGGAAAGGCGTGTGTCCGAACCACTAATTTTGCGAATTGTTGTTAGATTATGTAATTGTAAATCGGTACAAGGAATTGCAATTCATTCGGAACCGTTTGAAAATCTCTAACCGTCTTGAAAATTCTATTGGTTTTATATTACCATGCACAAACTGTATCGCGAACGCGTTAACATTTCTCATCTTTCATAGATCTAACGTTGTTTCTGTATCTACAGTTGACTGTTCAATTTTATTCCATTGAGTACGTGTTTTATAAATAAGATTTTAGCTTTCTGTATGTACGAAATTGTGAAATAAAGGAACATTTGTTTTTAATCAATTGCATGTGTCTTGTATACTCGTTTTCCATTTCCTATTCCGAGACAGGTACGAAATGTATATTTGAAAATCAACAGGAAGTGCTTGGTGTGTTGCTCTTAAATAATTATCTAATTATAATTAGAGGTATTTTACGAAATTAGAGAAAGCAATGCAATGATTTAATCGCACGTTTTTTTCCTTCATTTTTCTAGATTTCTTTCCGTTTCACGCTATTTTTCTTCCAAATTGGATTTCCACTGCCATTTCCGTTAGATTACCGAAAATCAGTTCGAAATGTTGTTCATTCGTCAATATAAATTTAATCCATTGGATGATGACACACGCGATTGATTTATTCAATGACACGTAGATATCAAAGTTTTTGTTGCATAAAAAAAACAATCGATCGTTTATAGACGTATGCTTGTTAACGAAACAATCGGTTATGCATTTTCATTTTGGTATTTAAAACAATATATAACGTTTGACAATTCCAATTAATTATGTGCATCGATAGTTTATATTAATGATTATATTATCACACAATAACTTTTTATTGAAAAAGTGAAATATTCAAACCTTTAGCATTCATCGAACAAAATTAGTTTTATTCGATCTAAATGTAGTTTACATACACCTGCACGAGTATTTATATATTTCAGAAAGACTCGAATAACAGCCAAGTTACTTGATTTACTTTTGGTTATTCCACATATTATAGTTATTTTAATCATCACTATTATTTGTTTTTAACAAACTACAAATAACTTTTCGAGTTTTCCTCGAATACTCTTCACTTTGACTGTTGCTAACACATTTTTGTAAGAGCGATGTTATGGTTTTTTTAAAGTTGCTGCTTTACTCACTCGTACCCTTTCCTCTTCTGAGTTCGATACAGAATTATCGTACCACAAAGTACAACACTTACCAAACTATACATTCAAGTATTCAGTAAAACGTGACATCCCACGCCATATTTGGTATTTTTTTACGAGTCAAGAAAAATTGGTCCCTTTCAATACCTAACTGTCAGGCATATGCGCGACATCGGATGCGCGAACGACTTGAGCGCGAACAAATTTTCTAGCAGTTTGGCGCCGTCGCTCGACGAGTTCGTATGCATTGTGCCTCTTTCGTGACATGTTCACGAATGAAAGTGTGCACAATCACGCGTAAAACTTCTTATTCTCTTCCTATTTATTTGCGCGCACAGTCATTGTCTTGGAAATGTTTTCATACTCTACGTGACAGCAGAAAGTGTATTTCGTTCACAAGTTCCACATTCTTTCGTGTTTTAAACGAACGTGCGTTTTTACGTTGTTTCGGTTAGTTTCACATAATACGGAATTTGACATAAATAGTTTGAAATTCACGCGAGAAACGTAATGAATACATCGTGGACTGTCTACCGAAATACCAGCGCACTTGTTGTTATCAGGCAATAACAAACAAAATTTTGTCAATTTCACCGCATCCAAACAAACGTCAATCGAGTATCAAAAAAGAGTATGACTGAACTCTGTTAACAGAAAAGATGTTTATCAGTTTAACGTGTCGGGTTTCGTTTCGTCTCGCAATACAATTTCAATTTTTGTGATGATCGTTGTTCAAGGAACACGAACGTTGAATTACGATCGATACAAGCGAGACGATCGGGCTATAATCGCGAGTACGGAGTACATAATAGTAAAATAATAGCGTGTATTTCGGCAACCCAGTGACCACTGCAGGGGGGGGGGCGGAGGGCGAAAGCGATCGAGCATCGCGTGCATCGTGTTCGCTTTGGTCGCGAGAATCGATCGCTAAGTTCAGCGAGAGCGAGACCGAGAGCAGGGACGAGCACACGTTGTTGAGAGGATGTTTGAGTGGACGTGCACGCGAGACACGCGGAACAACGCAACCGGCTTTTCCCTTTATTTCAGGGGCGCGGTTTCATTCGCGATTTAAGGATTTAAAGACTCGCGATTCCTTTAACCCCTTCCTTTTTATCAGTTCGAGCACGTGTTCACCGGCACGTGGCTCCCAAGAAAATGTGAAATGCTTCACAGCATCATAGTCCGGCATTTGTCAACGATTCTCCGGCGAAACAAACATTACGTTGCTTCGTGAGGTGAGTATTACTAATATTATTAGTATTACAATTCTTGTCATTGTTTATGCCGTATTAATTACGGATATTTTGATAATATGTATTAGTCTCGTTCATTGGTTACACTCGAATTGACGTGTGCTGGCTGGTCAGGGTCATTTCTGCAGCCGCAATTGAGGAAGATTGAGATTAAGAAGCTCGGTCATGTCGAATTACAGAGCATCCGAAGGGTACCACAAGGCACGAAAGATGTTTCCCTTCTCCGCCTTTAAAATAACCAATTGACTCTTATTTTTATCAAATCAGACTTGGCAATTGTTTAGCTTAGGTATAGTATACAATATTTTTGATACGTATGTCTGTCTCGTGCTCGTCCGGAAGAGCTTGTTCATTAACGAGTTATCTCTCAGTTATGTTCAGTTGTCAAAAATGATATATTTTCTCTAATAGAATTTTGCTTTCAATAAAACTGACTGAAAATTGATTGGGTACACATTTGGTATTGTCGAATAAGACTCGGATGGCGCGTGTGGTCATCGTTTGTCGTTTCTACGTATTGAAAGCACGAATCCGCGAGTCGGATGATTTTCGAAGGCATATTTCTCGAAAAAGCAGCTTTACGGGAACAAATTTTATTCTAGACTACCAATATTCTTTTTTGCTCGTAAATGACCACGATTCGAGCATTAACGGAACCATTAACGGCTAGGAAAGATTGTGCATGGCATCGAGAGTTTGTTTGTAAACGGCAACGAGCGTTCTCGTGAATCGAGCTGGAAACCGAAACGATAAGGTTACTATATTTAACGAGTGCCGAATCCATGCGATAACCAGATAAAAAAACATACGACGGGAGGGCAGTTTGTCGATCGTTGGACTTATTTGCGAGCGATGCTTCCAAAACGAAAACAAGCATTGAAGCTCGATCGACGAACCTTTCCAATGTCCGGCCTCTCGGTAAAGTAATCGTTGAAAACAGACGAGTTTCGAGACGGATTCTTTTTATTCTTACACTTTTGCGGATTTAGTCCTTTCTTTTTCCGCGTACACCCGTCAATATACAGCGACTTATAACGACGTATCCGTTGATACATACGTCGAATATTCCACGAAAATCACGCTATGTAGTGCGAGTCGAACGCAAATACGAAGATTTTTTATGTAACACTGTATGTGTTTCCGGGAAAACTAAATTCTCTTCATTTTATATCGCCTGTGTTACGGCCGAATTATATTTTCCGACACACCCCGTATAAGGGTTGGTCGTTCGCACAAAATGGCCAGACCGCACGAGTTCTTCGATAAGTTTCATGATCGTAACTAAGTTGGATGAAACGCGAGGAAAGATACTTTTCTCGATCAAAAGTTCGACACACATGTATCAAACAAGTTTATTTGTTTCAGTTTATTACTACGTAGGCGCGCATCCCGCATTCGGTGAAAATATTCTTACCATTTGTGGTCGTTCGGGAAAGATAATCGAAAAAATTTTCAATTTAGATATTATCTTCATTGAATTTCAATGACGAATTTTTAGAAATGCGTTCAAGAGTTTTATCAACGACGTTCAACGGTAACGTAAACTACACGACAGTTAATTCTTGTGAAATTCGCGGACACGATGAACAGTCGAAATTCAGCGAAACGTTCGACGTTCTATTCGACGCGACATGACAGTTTAACCGTAGAATTTGCTTTGCTAATGGTGATTCTGCGACAGCTACAAATGTACTGCATTACTTTGAATTTTCGCTAGAAGAGGGACAGGTGAGGAGAAGGGGGATGAGGAAGGCCGCAATTTGCGGCCGATCGTGCCAGGCGCCATTTTGATTCGCCTCTTTACAGGAAATTACCAGGCCTGTTTGAATTTGCTCTTCCCGTGATACGCGGGACTCCATCGCAAATGTAATTTTCCCCAGGTGTTGCCGGTCAAAAGAACATTAGTCTCGGTCTATTTAGATTTTAAGCTGTTTCGCTTTTCGTTATCCGCTACGGTTAGCCCGGTTGTGTTTAGGGGTCAGTCGATTATTCCGTTGAGCCGAGGACGTAGAAGGAACGTGATATGATTTACGGATTACAATAGCATATAAAATCGGGAATCGTAAATCTTAACGTGTTTCTATGTACTTCCTATAGAAACCATAAATCAGAGCTCTTCGCACAGGGGAGTTAACACGTTTAAATAATTGAACGTGGATGGTACTCCGGATCCCTTTTAGCTACCACATTTATATCGTTTAGAATTCGTTAAAGAAATTATTTCAGGGGTCTAGAAGAAAGGGAAAAAAGTTCTATTGGGAAATATCCGAACATGTGGGTCCCTTTAAAGGAAATCTCGAATTTACGATCGAGTCGTTGGTCTACGAACGAGGCATTGCGACGTTATACAAATGTTGCTGTCGAGACTGTCGGGTTTAAATTGCACGAGTCTGAAACCTGAAAGCCTAAAGATTAACGATTTTCTATGGACTCGGTTACTTACACAGTTACTATACATACGATCGTTAGAAAATAAAAATATCATCACGTGCTATTTGTGTCGTCCTAATTTTCTCTGTCGAATAATCAAGTCAACGAGTAACGGGATTTTCATAAAAACTGTTCATATTCGTTTTACTTTCGTAGATGCCAGCATAGCCGAGAAATGGAGACGCTTTACACGGGAGCGATCCACGGGTTTTCCCAAACGAACGGCGGGCTCGCTAATGGAATTTCAACGGGAATCGCCAGCTCGTTCGATCAGGACGGCGTTTTGAGTCTCATCGTCGTCCTCGGCGGAAGCCTGTCCCTGGTAGCGCTGGTCTTCGCCTTCATTACCTACAGGTAAGTGGAGACAAGTCCATTAGCTTGGGGTAATAAACGCGCGGATACGACCCGACGCGACGGTTCTTCGTCTTAAATAGTCTTAAGGATCGAGGATTAAGTACTCGAGGCGAGGAGGGCAATCGCGATCGATTAGGTTCACCGTCTATTCGCGCGTACCACTCCTTCTCTATCCACTCGTTCGCTTATAATTACCATGGCGAACCCGCGATCGAAGTCGACGAACGGCCGATTAAACGGTAGATCGAGGCTCGATGGTAAACGCTAAACACCCATCTGCGCTCCGATTGTTCAAGTTTCTTTCTGTTCTGTCGGAGGCTTGATCGTCGACGGTTGTGTGTATGTGTACACCGAAAATCAGCTCACCCGTATTAAACGCTCTCGGTTTCGTATACATATAATAGCGGGAATACGATGGGCCGATCCGAGCAGGAATTTTCTTATCCCTTTAAACGGATCGCCGCATATATTGGATCCTATGGAATTTAATATTTGACGTTCTAGTCGCCGAGAGAGGAAAACAGAGGGGAAAACAGAGGGTATCGGACGCGTTATCGGACGTTTATCGATTCAATTTCAGGGCCAATTCGATCGGATCGAAATTTAATCGATCGATTCGCCTTCTGTTTCTCGTTTGGTTTTATTGGCCGGCGTCCGCGATCGGAATTCGTGGATTCGTGAATTTCGTGAAATAATACCAACCGGTTCCATCTAAAGTACGCACATATGTATACAAGTTACGCGCGAAACCTGGCGAGCTTCGTGCCACTGGATACTTTAATCCTTTTATCCATATGTGTATCTAGGTATATCCTGTCCACACTCATGGCGAACGAATAAATCATGTTTACTTAACCAATCGAAATAATACCGAATTCACCGCGCGATCGTTTATTTCAGTATTTCCATCCGTATCTACCGTTAACATTTCACGCCCGAGTAAATCAGTTTAGCCAGTGATATCTTTTTCCGTAAATTTCAAAATGGAACCAGGGAGGGAACACGAGCGTGAATTGGAAAGAAAGAGTTTTCCGTACCGCGGCTCGATCTATTTTCCTTTGCCCCCTTCGAGACCAACGGAACTTTGCGTCTTATTTTCGAAACTCGTCGCGTGTAGATATTGTACGTACGAAATGCAATAAGTTATTACTTTCCGATCAGTTTAACGTTCGTTCTGATACAAAACTCTTGGTGATATTCCCCGGTAAGAATGCTGGAACGGGTAGAAACTTTCTAACGGCGTACGCTCCTGCGGAAATTGGAGGGAAATGAGAAAGCATGGCTTCCTTCTTTCTTCGTTCGCATTGGTCATCGTTATTCGCTTGGCTTCTTAGCGTGAAATACAACTAGAAATTCAGAAGGAAGCATATCCCGATGTCGACAAAAGTAAGAGTAATTGTCACGCATATGGAGAGAAGAATCATAAATGTATCGCTCATAGTGGCGACTATGTTGAGTAGTACTTACCTTTGGATAGAGGTAAGAGTTACTCCAACAACATGTGCAATTTTAATAACCTATATAGCTTAATAAAGAAGTTATGCCCACTTTTGCATCAGTTTCGGTATAGCCCTCGTATCCACCGATGACTAGGACAATAACTTTATAATAATTTTATAATAATTATCATTCTAAAACTTTTGAGTTTCTCAATAGAAATAATACCGATCCCCTTTCTCGAGCACGTCGAAGCAAGGCCCACTCGTTTTTTAGCCGGAATGCTCTTCCCATTTTTCTCGGATGACGGTTCGTAATGCCGTAACGAATAGTTTCCGTTTCCGCTCTAATGCCGGGGTAATTTTTAACGCGGCTTACCACTCACGACGGATGGATACGACCACATTTATTTACGCGGGAAACGACGGACATTAGTTCCAGGATGGAACGATCCGCGGCCGCAAAGATTGCAATTTTCAAAAACTCCATCGGAAAATAGGTCGTGTTCTATTCTTAGGTCGTGAAAGTTGCTCGATTTAACGAGGAAAAGAATATCGCCTGCAGGATATTAAAAGTCGTAGGCGTATTATAAACGCGGTCGAAGTTTCTCGCGAATTTCAATCTAAATCGCTTTTTGATCCAATTACCCGACAGGAAAGTCATTTATCCCGAAGTGCAGCGCGAAAGATGCCCTTCACCTTTTATTAGCCGCCCGGTTTTTTGCCAAGGGTCTGCAGGATAGAGTCATCCATGGAATGCCAAGGATGAGAGAGACGTTCCTTCCTGATACCTCGTAGAGGCTGTATTAAAGCTTTCATTAGGAGTTTTCTGTAAGGCGGCGGATGCACGCGGATACGCTGTTACTAAAGGCAATTAACTTTTTTTCAGGGAGGGAAAAAATGAAGTGTAGTAGACGAAAGCTAACACAGCTGGGGTAGGAAAAAAGTGGAGGCGAGACCCGCGGTTTTGGGATTCATTTTGGAATTTCACACGGGAAATTGACGAAGCTTCGTAAAGTGGGCACGTAATGACGGTGAATTGGCCTTGTCGCGAATGAACCGTGGGGATTTCGTTGAATGTCGAGCAAATTCGCGGTGGACCGCGACACCGTTTCGATATTTATCGTTTCACCGTTATCGGGACAGAGTCGTTCGTTTCGCTGGACATTTCCCGGGACGTATCAATCGCGAACGAAAAGCTACGAAAGGCTCGCGTAACGAGAAAAACAATCGACGAAAGCAAACGCGTGGTCAATCAGAAGGGAGGAACAATTGCGAGTTAATAAGTTTTCCTCGCTACGTTATCGCGTGCCATCGAACGCGCGATCGTTGCTCGAAATTCTATGGAGCCTATTGTTTGGATCTTATTTGTTATTGTACCGCTTCGGGAGGAAAATAATCGAACATGTTTAGGCGAGATCCTGTGCGAAAGCAATTCTTGCGTTTCCTTCTCCCCGAAGTAACGTACACTTTTCATTCAAGTAACTCGTTCGTAATTACGTAAATCGCGGGCATCAAAAGTTTTTCTCGAAACCGCTTGAAACTTTCGACGTCCACAATTTCTCTGATACGGGGATGAAAGACGTTATAGCGTTTTCCGTGCTACTTGTAAATAACACGGTTGCGCCGAATGTTTCACGCGTTTTCTGTAAATTGCGTGTCGTCAGAAACGTCTGAAACGAAACAATTTGCTTAAACGCAGTAAACGAAAGACACGACAGTCACGGCGCGTAGTCTGACGTCCCCTAAAAAAAAAAACACCCTTAGTTTTTATCGTTAGCTGAACATGTGATATTTATCTTTCCCTTGGCAGTGTCCCAACATCTCCAGGTCAGTCGCGACCGTTGTCGACCCTGCCGAAGTACATATTGTACTCATATCCACTGGCTGTTTACACATTTTTATTACCTTTATGTCCTTCGCGTACGATTTGAGTAACGTTTCCTTAGTTTGGTGGCAGTCTTTAACGCGAACACATCTAGTCGACGAAGAATAGGCCTAGAATATTTTTACAGCATTAGTTTCATTTATTTATTATACTACGTTTTAGTTCAGTTTAAGTTAGTTTATCCAGTGTTTATTCTGTGTGTGGTTTCCCTTGTGGAGTGCAGGTGTTACAAATCACTTTTTTGGCTACGAGGTAAAGGTGTATTTGTTTTAGGCGACGTCAGTGTACGTACTGGTATTGTCGTGCCCTACGTTTACCGGTTGTACGCAAATTGCCTGGTTCCAGGCGTTTCTGGCTCGAATTTGTAACCGTTACTAACTTGAAAACGATGTTTCCAACACGATTTCGTCATTCTTGATTTTCTTCTTAATTTTAGAAGTAAAATAACCCCCTAATTTTGCCGATACAAGTAGCCGGACACCCTCTGGATGGAGGGACTTTGATCGTCTGCATTTCAGGATTTTTTACGGATCGTATAAAGTAGCGTAGCGGCACGATCGAATTTCGTGGAATACGGAAGCGAACAAGGGCGTCGGTAAAATTCCGTGTGGGAATTTTATAGAAGTTTGGCTGCCGTTAAGCGAGCACGCCGGAACTGGCGGGGCCGTGTAGTTTCAGCGTCGCTTCGAGATAGCTCGTGCTCGCCGATTTTAACGTAAAGAAATTTCTGACAAGCGTGAGTAATGGATATACACGTAGGCAGCCGTAACTTTCCACACTGTTACGGTAATCTATCATGAATAATATAATTGACTAATGGCATGATCAAGCGCGTAACTGAAATTTCGGGAACCTCGGGGGAAAACTTCTTATCGTTGGCGAAGTGTCGAGTGAACTTTCCAGCGAGGAACGATCGGTTTTCGTCCACGTCTTATCCCGTAGATGTTCTTAATTAATACTCGGTCGACACGTGCCGTGAGGCACTCGAGCCTGTAGTTAGAATCTGAAAAGGAGGATTAATTATGTCTCCTTTGTCGCGTTTCGCATTCCGTGAAGAGTGCATACAGGCGTGTCGCGTATAATAAAGCAACGTTAATCAAGAGCCGATGTTGCTCGATTACTATTATTCGCGCTCCCACCTGAAGATAATTAGGACTGGTCGAACGAGGCTGATAATCTGCCAAATTTCCAAACGAATGCTCGCATAATTTATATCTGCGTATTATTCCGCGTGGCCGGCCCCGCCCTAATCCTCTTCATTGCCCGTTCAGCCGCCACATTCGATGCCAGCACACGCTAATTTTCTTCTATTCGCCTCCGTAAAACGCAATCGATTCGAGTCGGAATGCAAAAAGCACGCTTTAATTTAGTCATCTTACAATTACATCAGTGTTTCCCAACGTGGTGCGTATACCTCACCGAGGGAGAATTTCAATGTTTTAAGGAGCAATTAATGATTGGCATTCGCAACCTCATCGACAATAGTTTTACCTATCTACCTTTTTTATTTGGAGCAGCATGTTAATGTTAAACTTTGTCAGAACTTTGTTTACTATTATGCTAGGGGGACATCGAGATCTTTGAAACGTTGAGATGGGGAATCATCCAGAAACATTGTGCTAGACGTTTGTTAATTCGCGGACCGACCGATGCATCGTGAGAATGATTGAAAAACG